GAATGCTCTTACATGATAATCACTTTAGGTCCCATTAAAAAAAAAAGATGAGCCTAATCTGACTTGTGATGTTAAATTGGACTTACGGTTTCACATAAATATTGTTTCGTATTATTTATGGTCACTTAAATTAAGCAATGTGTATTTTACATACATAATATACACCAGTATTCACATATTAATTTGTTTTTAAAATTGCAAAATAAAATGTGACTCCTCTCAATTTTTGGGAAACATCGAAATGTTTATTAAATATTTATTTCTGTACGAAGGTCGTAATAATATAAATAATGGTCTTCCGTTTGCACGTTTTTAATCGGCTTCATTAATTTCGACTCAATACCACGGATCAGACAAAATGAACGGAAAACTTACCGCCGTATTTCACTCAATCGACAATCTGCCGTATTTTCCTTTATTGTAATTATTTGAAAGCCATACAACAGAACGATATATTTGAGTGGAGACAAGCCAACTTAATTACAAAGAATAAATTATTCGAAAGGGGACACCAATAATGGTGAATTAGCTACGGACACGCCCTTTGCAAATATATTCTACGATATTCTGTCGTTTGCACCTTTTCAATTGTTGTACAGGTTGTCACTAGATATGATATGGCTGGTTTTTTACATACACAACATGTCTCATTTAATGGTACAATATTTTTATATAATCAAAAAATTAACAACGGAAATAATCAAGTAATGATTACATACACGCTCTGGATTTATAAAACTGGTATATAGCCCAGGCTGTGGATGAAAAAGTGCATATTAATTAGTAAATGTTTAAAACTTACTCTGTGTTTTCTTCCTTTTCTTCTTCTTCCTCTTTATAAGCAATTCTACTTGTTCATTGGTGGATATAATACCTCTTTGGAAGGTTGTTACTTCATCTTTTGCGCGGTCGGCCGATACTTCTTCTGTCGATTGTTGACTTATCCCATTGTTATTTTGACGACGCGGGTCTCCTCCATTCTGCTTATGTAATTATTCAATTTTTTTTTATTTTGTGTCCATTCATTTATACACTGTATGTTACATTTTCTTCTAATATCTTAACTTCTCTTTCGATCTTTCTCTGCCGTTTCCAGTGGCCTTTGCGTTGTGGATTTGTCGGGTCTTGTTTTTGAGGCATATGTCATTATTGGGCTTATACTGGCTTTATAAATTCTTGACTTCATCTCAGTGTTAATATGTTTGTTTCGCCATATAGTATTATTAAGGCTTTCTGCCAGTCTATTTGCTTTTACTTTTTCTTTCATTTGTACTTGATCTCTTACTTCTTTGTCCAGGTCTCCATAGCTAGACAGTGTAATTTCTAGGTATTTTATTTCCATTACTTTTTTAATACTGATACCATCAATTACATCTGGTTGATTCTTTGCTAACTTCTATTGTTTTAGCTTTCTAAGATGAGATTGTCGTATTCAATCATTTTGCTCTTATGTCAAATCTTTGGACCAGTCTTTGCAGACTGTCTTCATCTTGGGCTATCAATATTGCGTTATCTGCGAAACAGAGCATTTTCATTTCTTTGTTTCCCATTCTGTATCCTCTTGGGGTTCCAATTGGGCTCAATAAATCCCCTTATCTTATTTCGCTGCCTATTTCTAAAGGTTCTGTAAGTTGTCCATCTATTTTGACTTCCATTTTGTTGTTTTGGTAGATGTTTTCGATAGTTTTTATAAAATTTATTGTAACTTCTTTATTATATAGAAGATGGATTACATCTTTGAGTCTTACTCTGTCGAACGCTTTTTTGGGCCAATCAGACATAGAAGGTGTATTATACTCTAGTGATTTTTTAGTAATTTGCTTTATAATGAATATTGCACCTGTACTCAGTTCACGGATCTGTTTTAAAAGGCGATATCAGAAATATCTCGCATTCTCCTCAGTCTGTGTCCATGCCAGTAGATGTCGTGAAACCTTATCGATCTATTCGTTGCTAAGATATGATAATTATCCACAAGGAAACTAAATTTTTGGCAAGACAAAAAAAACGCCATTCTAGACGTATTTTCTTGGAAATGTGTTTCATAAAATCCAATACGTCTTGTATAACTAAAAAGTCTGATATAGATAAACTGAGCAACATTTATTTTTATTTACTGACAACACATCAAAAATGAAATAAAGACTTACTTGTACATATATACACCATAATACACCTGCAAGCAAAACAGGTTGCATACCATCAACACAGGTTTAATACATTACTTTCTATTAAAATAAAATATGAAGAACACCTAATTAATTTTTAATCAATACTATTTTTGTTTTTTTTTTTATATTCTCTATGGATCAGTCAAAACACACCATAAAAAGATATCACATACGAATTTTTACTATCTTTAACTAAATTTTAAAATGTATTTTGTCCATTATTTTATATGTGTGTTATTAATGTTGAGTGTCATAGCTTTATACAAATAATCTCAACGACTAGTAAGTTGCACTGACATTTTGTGATATACTGTAAGTATTTACACATTTTTCTAATTACAGTGTCTTTAAAAAGGAATTAAACAATTCCGAAAGTTAGACCAAAAGTCAAAAGAGTGTTTCTGTAACATCCCGGACAAACTTCTGACTGCAGCCCTAATAAACTTTGTTGTATATATATATATATATATATATATATATATATATATATATATATACATATATGTATATATATATGTATATAATATATATATATATATATATATATATATATATATATATATATATATATATAGAAAAGAAATTTAATCTTTGCAGATAAGTTAAATAGTAAACTCTTAAATATTGGGGAAATCTGCAAAAAAAACTCTAATGTGTATCAATTATTTCACCTAACGTTTTCGCCAAAGAGAATTTTGGCTTCTTCAGGGCTGAAAGAGAATAAATTATAATTAGCTACCATATATTATCTAATAAAAAACATTTACCTTACCGTGAAATTTTAGAAATGTCTAGTTATGATGTTAAAAAACTTTAGCTAGTAACAACATAGTGGTGTTTTTTTGTTACTATGTGCAAAAAAGTTTATTTGTGAACGTTGGAAATGTATGGTAGCTTTGAACTTAAAACGCAAAGGTTTACCCAAGGACAATCGAAAAACCCAATGTACCTACATTTAAAGGAAGTAATTCTTTGAATTGTCGGCAATAACTAAATTTTTAATTGTTGTAAAGTTTGAATGTGAGCTTCTGTTTTCATAGAACGCAAGCGCCGAAACAATTACAAGTAGTTCTTTTGATATGAATGTCGTTAAGGTTCATTGGTAAAACCGATGAAGTTAGATCTCAGTCTGGGGAGATATTAGTTTAGAATTTCTAATTGAAATTCTTTTATTTTTAATTAGTAAATTGTTCATGTATTATTGTAATAATATCTTATTGAGATGTATCTAAGAAAAGCAAGGGAATGTTATCTTTTTTTGTTAATGTGACTTAATAATAATTTTCATTAACAAAAAAGATAACATTCCCTTGCTTTTCTTAGATACATCTCAATAAGATATTATTACAATAATACATGAACAATTTACTAATTAAAAATAAAAGAATTTCAATTAGAAATTCTAAACTAATATCTCCCCAGACTGAGATCTAACTTCATCGGTTTTACCAATGAACCTTAACGACATTCATATCAAAAGAACTACTTGTAATTGTTTCGGCGCTTGCGTTCTATGAAAACAGAAGCTCACATTCAAACTTTACAACAATTAAAAATTTAGTTATTGCCGACAATTCAAAGAATTACTTCCTTTAAATGTAGTTACATTGGGTTTTTCGATTGTCCTTGGGTAAACCTTTGCGTTTTAAGTTCAAAGCTACTATACATTTCCAACGTTCACAAATAAACTTTTTTGCACATAGTAACAAAAAAACACCACTATGTTGTTACTAGCTAAAGTTTTTTAACATCATAACTAGACATTTCTAAAATTTCACGGTAAGGTAAATGTTTTTTATTAGATAATATATGGTAGCTAATTATAATTTATTCTCTTTCAGCCCTGAAGAAGCCAAAATTCTCTTTGGCGAAAACGTTAGGTGAAATAATTGATACACATTAGAGTTTTTTTTGCAGATTTTATATAAAACCTAGAACTAAGATTAATATTATTACAAAAATTAATATCAAACTCACCAGTCTTCCGGGTTACACCGAGTTTTTTTTAAAGAATTTTAATATTTTCAAAAACGTTCAAAGTCAAAGTAAATTTGCTGCTAAAAATTTTGAAAAAACTATGATAATGTAGACTTATTGTCTACCATAATATTCTATAGTAGATATTCTACAAATTAAAAAAAAATAAGTTTTTATGATGATTAGAAGCAAAGATATCGGTAAAAAAACAAAAAAACAAAAAAACACCTTTTAATTTTTTTGAGTTATGTTTGGGTCTAGTGGATATTAAAAATTTTTTGTTTAGAAATTTTTTGATATAGATATAGAACACATTTATTTTTAAAATATCGCTGGAAGCATTTTTCACTATCTTAACCGGCTAAAACCTTTGTTGTAAACACTATTCTATGAAAAACCCCCTATGATAATTACTTTGATGTCATTTTATTGAAAAATTACTAGAAAAAAGTATAAGGCCCAAAAGAAAATTTGTTCCAAAATTTTCAGTTATGTTTATTTATAACGTTTTAATTTTCCAAAATAAAGTTGTAGATAATATAATCTGCTACACATAATGTTTCATAAAATTTTTGAAGAGTTTCTAGTTTACGAGATAACGTGCAAAAACCCTTTTTTCTCTTTTTCCAAGTTGACGGGCGGGGGACAAGGGTGGAGATCCTACAAACTTGAACTAAGCTTATACTTACCTCCCAACATATCAAAAAAATAAAATTGTGTCCTCTAAGAAATGTACGCTAAGACATAAAAATGTAACATTTCAATGGATTAATATACTTTTTACTTCTATATATTTCTAAAAATCTTTTTTAGGTAACTATAGCTACGGAATTAGGTAAAGTGGTTACCAGAATGCAGTTGGAAAGGTCTGAAGTAGCATTCTATGTATATACTAACGGCTCACTATTAAGGTAAGAAATAAGTATATCTCTATACCATAAGCTGTAGGCTGCAGACTATTTGCATACCAAGTTTTCCTTGACACTAACAGTTGCGTTTCCCACTATCTCTATAGTTTGTGTAATAAAGTTTATCCCTGTTTTTTGTGTGTGCGTACATCACTTTCTTTTTAGGAAGTTGATACTTTTGTATTTCCAGATCTAGTAGATTAACTCATATGTGCAAAAGATTCTTCTCGATATTTCGAATATTCTGCAGATATAGTGTCGTTTCCTGGAGCTTTGTTGTTTTTTAGTTCCAGATAGGTATTAACATTTCTTCCAGTGTAGGATCTTTTACTATGATTTCCATCGTAAGACACTCATATTCATTCCTAGCTTTATTTATTTGCACGCAATTTAGTTAGTTGCTATCATAATATCTCTCCACCTGCTTTTAACGGAATTGTGCTTATCCCATTTGCTTCCTGGTTTTATTGTATTTTAAGTCTTGAATTGTGTCCATTATTTTTTGTTCTGTTGCTCTGGCTACTTTCGCATTCTAACCTTCTTCTATAGCTTCTTCCTATTGATAACTTCCATCTAACAACTCAATGAAGAAACTTGTCCATTAGGACATTGTGTGATCAGTCTCACTTATCAGTATTCCTTCATTTAACGAACTCTTTTATAATAACCCTTTTATATCTTCCTTACTTCCTAGTAGAACGTATTAATTTCTTTGGTTTGTAACTTTTCTTCAAAATCTTGGAGTGTTCTTCCATTAGACTGTCTTTTTAGTACTCTGTATTACATACAATTTCTGAGTAAAAATAAGGTTATAATATATTGGGTCTAAGTGGTAAGCAGGTTTTGTATGTTTTCAATAAAATTGATAGTGTGTAAAATAATTTATCAATTAAGCTGAGTATACTTTCGACATAATAAATGTCATCATCAGAGCTATCCTAAAATAACGTTAAGTTAAGTAAATTTTTTATATAAAATACAATGACAGAAAAAACTTACGTCAATTAGGCAATAAATACTTCATAGAAGGAAAATTGTGGACAAACAACATATTAAAAAACAAAGATCGGGCTCTGTAGGCCACAGATCTTGGGTCTAGCCCTTATACATATGTATAATTCACATCAAAAAATTTTTTATAAAACATGGTTACCACATACAGCAACGACAACAGCTGTTTTTGACTTACATTTTTGAAGTAAAATGAAAAAGGAAGCTCGGATGTACGGAAATAAATCCGAGAGCCCGATCTTTGTTTTTTAATATGTCGTTTGTCCACAATTTTCCTTCTATGAAGTATTTATTGCCTAATTGACGTAAGTTTTTTCTGTCATTGTATTTTATATAAAAAATTTACTTAACGTTATTTTAGGATAGCTCTGATGATGACATTTATTATGTCGAAAGTATACTCAGCTTAATTAATAAATTATTGTACACACTATCAATCTTACTGAAAACATACAAAACCTGCTTACCAGTTAGACCTATTTAGAAGTGTGTACAAGTCTTAAAGTCTTCTTCAATTTATAATATATTAACTAAAACAATTTATTTGATTAAAGATCTAATTTAATGATAGCTTTACTAATAATAACTTTTTGTTTTAATTTAGGATATCGTCGGCCGGCAAGTGATATATTTATATGGAGTCGGCTAAAAGATATTATGATCTGTTTCACTAGCTGAATCCAATAACTATATAGAACTAATAAATATTTTTAAATCTTATATACTTGCTTATGGTAGCGGGTAGGTACCCCTCTATGATCCCGATAGAGGGTAGAATTACTTCAGGGAGGTAGCGTCCCTGCCCACGCGAGCTCCTGGTTTTCCTCCATTCCCTAATTAGAGGAAACCAGGTCCAAACCCCAATATTATCCTACCCAAACCCCAAATTCCTTCCCTATATCCCCCCACCTATTCCACCGAAGGATTGCCGGTATAAACAATTCCCCACTTACTGGCCAACGGCTTCGGGCAGATGAGCTGGTAAGTGACAGGGCACTCTTTTGTCCGAGGGTTGGGAAACTGGCCCTAAAGGCGAAGGATGTAGAAGGCCGAGGACAACCACTACATTAAAGATTCCATTGAATAGTCCTAGTATAAAATCATATATGTTAATGCTTACAACTAAATACGATACCGGAGTAAGTTCCCCAATCGGATCTCCGGGGGGGACAGTTATAAGTACCTATGAAAAAGAAAAAACAGCAAAACCACAATTTTTAAAAATTTGCACATGGAATGTGAAAACTATGGCAAGGAGTGGAAAAATAGACAATGCCATTCAGGAAATGGAAAGAATGACCATTGACATAATGGGAATAAGTGAGATGAGATGGCCTGGAACAGGAAGCATTGACAAAAAAGATCACAGAATATTCTACTCAGGGTCACTAGATGGAAAACAAGAGCATGGAGTTGGTGTGATAATAACGAGAAAAATTAGTAGATGTATTTTAAATTTTGTCCCAGTGTCCAACAGAGTAATACTACTGCAAATAAGAGACAATCCAGTGAATGTAAACATAATACAAATATACGCTCCCACTGCAGATAAAGACGACGGGGAAGTAGAGACGCTCTACCAAAGCATAGAGGATATATTAGAACGAATACCTAAACATGAAGTCAGCATCATAATGGGGGATTTCAATGCAAAACTTGGGGCCGAACGGAAAACGTCTCTAATCGGACCTTTTGGGTTAGGACAAAGAAACGAAAGAGGTGACAGACTAGAAATATTCGCAGAAGATAACAAGCTAGTGGTTCTGAACACATTTTATAAACTGCCGCCGAGGAGATTGTATACATGGAAGGCACCAGCAGATAAACCCCATAACGTAATTAGAAACCAGATAGATTATATATTGGTAAATAGAAGATTCAGAAACAGTTTTAAATCTGTCAAAACATATCCAGGAGCGGACATTGAATCTGACCACATACCTTTAGTGGGAGTCATGGATGTGAGACTGAAGACAATAAAGAAAAAATCTAGACCTAACTACGATATGACAGCCCTGCAACATCCGGAAGTTAAAAAGCAAGTGGGGGAATATATTAACAACCAAGTTAAACAACTAAAAGAAGAAAATAACATCCAACGAGAAATCAATCAATTCGAAGAAATAATTAAGAAAACTAAACAAGATCTGCTAAAACCAAACAAAGAAACAAAGAAGAAATCTTGGATGACTCCAGAAATCCTTCACTTAATGGAACGCAGAAGGTAAATTAAAGGAAATAAAGATGAGTATAAAAAAATACAGGTTTACATCAGAAGAAAAATAAGAGAAGCTAAAGAAAAAGAAGCTATAGAGAAATGTACAGAAATAGAAAGACTACAAGCCAAGCATGACAATTTTAATGTACACAAAAAGGTCAAAGAAATAACGGGTACTTTTAAAAAGCGAACACAAATGAAACTCATAGACACCAATGGAAAATTAATCATTGACATCCAAGAGATGAAAGACAAATGGAGAATATATTTGGAGACACTTTTTCAAGATCAAAGAACGGAATATAGGCATCCATTTTCAGAGAGGATGACGGGCCCGGACATACTTAAATCCGAGGTAGAAGAAGCAATAAAACGGATGAAAAGCAGGAAAGCTGTAGGGCCTGATAATATCGAAGCTGAATTTTTAAAACTCTTGGAGGAAGAAGGAATAATTTGGATCACGGCTGTCTTCAATAAACTATACAATACAGGAATCATCCCTGATAAATGGCTAGAATCAGAATTCATAGCGATACCTAAAAAACAGGGGGCTAAAAAATGCGAAGAATATCGAACAATCAGCCTAATGAGCCATATGTTGAAACTGTTTCTTAGAGTCATCCATAGAAGAATTTATAAGAAGTGCGAGGAACAAATATCGGACAGACAGTTCGGCTTCATTAACGCAGTGGGTACCAGAGAGGCACTTTTCGGAGTACAGGTACTGATTCAAAGATGCAGGGACGTTAACTGCGACGTATACGCGTGCTTGATCGACTATGAAAAGGCATTTGACAGAGTTCAACATCAAAAGATGATAAACATTTTAAAAGAGGCAGACCTGGATGACAAAGACCTCAGAATAATTTCAGAACTCTACTGGAATCAGACCGCATACATGAAAATTAACGGAGAAGAAACAGATCACATAAAAATACTACGTGGAGTTAGACAGTGATGTATCCTATCGCCGTTGATATTTAATATGTACTCAGAGAAAAGTTTTAACGAGGCTCTTTACGGAATAGACGAAGGCATCCTTCTAAATGGTGAAAGAGTAAACAATGTTAGATATGCCGACGACACCATGGTGATAGCAGATAGTTTAGAGGGACTTCAGAGGCTAATGGACAGAATAAACGAGTACAGTCAACAGTACGGACTAAACATTAATACCCACAAAACGAAACAAATGATTATCAGCAAGGAGAATATAAACGGGGCTCATCTATACATTAATGGGACGCAGATAGAGCGAGTAAAACAGTATTGTTACCTGGGAACTATTATTAACGAACAGTGGAGCAATTTACAGGAAATAAAGTGCCGCATAGGAAAGGCAAGAACGGTCTTTAACAAAATGAGCGCCATCTTCAAAAGTCACAACATATCCCTTGATACAAAAATGAGACATTTAGAGATGCTATGTTTTCTCTTTGTTGTTGTACGGGGCGGAGGCATGGACGCTTACAGACACCACTATTAAAAAACTTGAAGCATTTGAGATGTGGCTTTATAGAAGAATGCTGAGAATATCATGGACAGCAAGGATCACGAACAAGGAAGTTCTAAGAAAAATGAAGAAGGAACCAGAGATTGTGTTTACGATGATCAAACGCATAAAATTGCAATATCTGGGACACGTTATGAGAAATCAGCACCGTTACTCCCTGCTACAGTCTATATTGCTAGGTAAAGTCAAAGGTAAGCGAGGACCCGGTAGAAGGAGAATATCATGGCTGCGGAATTTAAGAACATGGTTTAAGAAAACCTCAACGGAGCTGTTTCGAGCCGCAGCGAGCAAGGTTATGATTGCCAATATGATTTCCAACATCCGAAACGGATAGGAACCAGAAGAAGAAGAATATACTTGCTATTCCTCAACTTTTGATATTGCTTTTTCCGTTTGTATCTACAACACTTCGATGATAATTTATTGATATCGTTGATTCCACAATCTAACCAACTGTTTTTGATAATTGTATTTATCTATTTTTTTATAACCTCGTTACTTAGCGTTTTCTATTATATTATTTGTTTATTAAACATTATATTGTATGTTGTAGAACTAATTTAACAAAAAGATTCGAACTGACAGATGAAGCTTTAAGAAATATGAGCAGTTGGCCTCCAGTTTCCTTGACCTTCGAAGGCAACAAAATTCCTTACATGGACAAAGAAAGCTTTCAAAGAAATCTAACTAATTTCAGGTAAGAAATATTTAAGTATCTACATATTTTCTATAGTCATATGTTTCTTAGAAACAATAGGTAATTCCACAAACATATCACTAAAAGTCGTGAATCACGTATACTGAATAGTACACTACCAATACTTTGTCAGAAGTATGTAAAAGGATTTTTTTAGCCTTTAAACCATATTATAATAATGACTCTTTATTAAATAAAACTAATTTAAGGCCAAATGATTTCTTATTCTTTTTGTCAATCAAAAATAAATTGATATATTGTAGCATTTCGATTTTTATATACACTCAGGTGCAAAAAAATCAATCCATGGGTATTATTTGTTGAAAAAAGAAAAAGTTTGAAGATATTAGTTTTAAATCAGGTATATATGTAAAAGTATATGTTAGATTAAAATAATTTTTACAGATTATCCAAAAAAATCATTTATTTATAGAGACATACGCCAAAACTAAAAAATACAAGAATATTCAAAACTTTCGGAAATTAAGAAAAACATTGATAATAAATCAATATCAAGTGTTTCCCCCTCAGGCCCTTATAACAGCCTGTACACGTGTAGGCATTAAGGTAATTAACCTCTGGATATCAAATCCATAAAATATGGGATCCAAGGGGTCCCATATTTCTTGAAGAGCCGCTGTAAGTTCAGCCAAGTTATTTGGACGGTATACTCGTGCTCGAAGACGTCTTAACATCATATCCCATAGATGTTCTATGGGATTGAGATCGGGACTGCAAGCTGGCCAATTCATACGGACAATTCATACTTCCTCTATATATTGGTTGACGATTCTAGCACGGTGAGGACCTGCGTTGTCCAATGAAAGGAGCAAAAGGTACCACATGCTGATCTAAAAGACTTGTTATGTATCTTTCAGCAGTCATAGAACCTCTATCTACAATAACTAAATCAGTATAGGCTTCTGAACTGATACTAGCCCAAACCATAACGGAGCCCCCGATAACTTATTCTTTCCGCAATATTACATTGAAAATATCGCTCTCCGTGTCTTCTCCAAACCCTTTCTCTGCCGTCTGGTGACCTTAGACAAAATCTGGACTCATCTGAGAACAATACATTGCTCCAATCTGTATCACCCCAGTTTTCATGTTCTCTTGCAAAAGCAAGGCGAGCTCTGCGATGTTCTATGGATAGTATTGGAGATAGGACTGTCCTTCTGGATAATAAATTACCTTCTATAAGTCGTCGACGAACTCTCCATCTGCTTACATCCACATTTGGCACTTCGCTCAGACGATTTGCGAGTTCAACTGAAGTTAGATGCCGATTTCTCAAACATTATGAGACCAGAAATCGATCATCTCTTTCGGATGTTACCCTTCTACGACCTGATCCTGGTCTTCTTATGAAGTTACCGGTGTCACTAAAACGCCGAACCGAAGATCGACTAACACCCAACATTTCAGCTGCATAATATTGGCAATATTACATCTACCATCTTACCATCTTGAACTAAAGTCACCGCCTTTGCAGCATCTGTCGGAGTTCGAAACATTTAGGAAGGATAATTAAATAAAAATATAACACGTTTTAAAAATAAAATCACTACACTAGTATGGTTGTTGAATTAAAAACAACATTCAATAAATATCTACTTGCTTCAGACCCTTTTTGACAAAAACCTGAAATACCAATATGTTTATTTCGCTTAATATTGCGCATCAAATAAATATCCACTTGTATGCGGGGAGGCGAACGATTTTTAAGGATGATGAAGTCACTCTGCAATAAACCACGATAAGAGTCAGGTCATTGTTTAGTCCGAATTTTTCTTTTTTAAATTGGTGATGGTTTTTTGTTATTCGTTTTTTTTTTGTCATCGGAAATTGGTTAGTAAGCAGCGAAGTGTAGCTAAGCTGGGATTAATTTTTGAAAGACATAGCTTTCGGCGTGGTAGTCTTCAAAGCCGGCATTTTTTTGTGGAGAGGTGAATTTCAACTCAAAATGCAATGTGGCAGTTTTTGTGGGAGTTAGTAACCGAATGGTTTTATTGTGCCTATAAACATTTGAAAGGTTCACATAGTTTTAAGAAGAAATTGAGTGGTCGAGTTTTGAATATTGCAATTTGTTGTCATCCAGGATAATTCGAAGGCCGAATCAGTTTCAACCTACCAAGAATTGTCCATTTCCACGGTCCAATTATCCATTTGTATGTTCCATGATTTGTATGTTGTTTGCAGTGTTTTGTTTCAATTCCGATCCCAAAGGAATTACATCTGCCAGTGATACCAGGTAAATTTTACTAAAGGTGAAAATAAACAATTTTTCATTAATAAAAAAATTTGCTTTCATGACAAACTAAAAAATTGTAAATAAATGAAATAATACGTTTTATTGATTAGTTAATTGTCATATTAGTCTTCTTTTAAATGAAATTAATTTTAAACTTTAATTAATCTTTCAAAAAGTTTTAATATTTAATTTCGTCATATGACCGTCAGTATTATCTTTTTCAAACTGGTACATAACCATAAACTTGAATTATTTTGTTTAAAGGTCAACCTCCATGTAAGCTCCGTTGAAAAATCTAGATATTTTTATTTAAATAATAACTTAAATTCCTATAAGTGTATATTGTAAGTTTTGTTAAAATATTTTTGGTCAAAAAATTTTGCTCAGTCCCCTCTTTCAACCCCCCTATAGGTGATCTCAATGTGGTAGACAAATTGTATCAATAAAATGTTAACATTTCTCGGCTTCTAAAAGACAGTTTAAGAATTAGAAAGGCATTTTTGGCGTTTGGTGTTTTTGTGGAACTATGGTGGAAACATTATTTCTTGTTGATAAAATGTTTTAGAGGGTTTATCGCTCACTGACAAAAATAATTCCAGATTAAGAGTTTTAAGCTTGGAAATTAATGTATCATCATAATAGCGTATTTAATTTATTCGAACCGAAGATTGCGAAAGGTGTTTTGGTCAATGGATGTGGCATGATGAGTCAAAAGTATACTGCAAAGTGGATATAAAAGGTTTAATAGTTATGGAGTAGAAATAGATATAGGTGAACGGTTTTAGAAAATGCATATCTAGCAACACCAATGTTTTTAGACAAAGCAAATTTTCAAAAAACAAAGAAACTTTAACCTAAAAATGCATATTCCCTTCAGAGATAGCTTTATTCGAAAATTAAAATTAAATTATAGAGTTCCCACATACTTTGTTCCACTTTAATCACATGATTCACGTGTTGTTCTACTTTTCTGATTATCTTGATTATGACCTTTACAGATGATTAAGTTACTTACTTTAGCTTCTTTAAGGTTGTAGCTTTTACCCTTTTTTTTTCTCTGAGGGTGGAAAGTTTCATTATCTTATCCATCTTCCTCCCATAATCACCCGTCTTATATTAGGAGAGAGATAGCAGTACACCAGGTGCAATTCCTCCATACGGACAATCATATATCCTTACTTTGCTTTTATTTTATATACTCGCAGCTACCTTTTACAGATTGGTCCACCGACTCTGTCAGTATCATCCACAAACCAGCCTCTGCTCTTAACCGTGGTTGAGTTGGGCTTAGCTGTAACCAGTATATCTATGTTCTTTTCCGTTGCTGCAACCTCGACCAGATAATAGGACAATCTAGCTTTTATCTGCTTCATATCTTTTTCTTTCACTCCATACCAGTTCGATAGAATTCAATTTATAGTAGTATAATGAGGTAGTCGTAACAATTTACTTTGTTCTATTTTGCAATATTATCGATAATATAACCGTCATACTGTGACTTAAAGTATTTACCACCGCTAATAATTTATATTTCATGTAGTCTTTAAAATATAAATCTTTCGACAGTAACGATTTCTTTATTTTCTCTTTGTTACTACATATATTACATTAGGCTGTACAAAGGTAGTTAAACTAATAGTCGTAATAATCAAATTGGGTGAAATTAATGCATGCAGTTAAATCGTAGTAATTATCAGAGTAATTTATGAAAAGCAGCAAAAAAAATTAGAAAATGGATATTTAGTTGAATATTAATCACAGGCTAATATTAATATTCAAATGATATATCGTTAATATCGTATGAAGATCTTTCGCAGTATCTATCAATTAATTAAAAATACTAAAATCCAAACACAGATTTTCAAATCAAAGTGCTTGGGACTTCTGGAATATTCTATTTTGACGGAACCACCAACACTGAGCTCCAAGGTTCCATAAGATTTAGATAGCACTATGCTTGTCCCATTACAAACTGACTGCAAAACGCGCTATAGGATGTAGTAAGTAACAATAAAACACTGAAAAGTTTTCAGTGTTTTATTGTTACATAAAATGAATTTCCATCAAGTAACGGTCGAATCCATCAATTATTTAAAGGATGTAATAAGTTTCGCGAAAGATAGATTAATAACAGTGATCACAAAACTGACGAAAAATCATAGAATATTAAATAACAAGACAAGCAACGATGTAACAGCTACTCTGTTAAACCAAATTAGCGAAATGAGATTTCTCAGAAAAGTTAAAGGCCTTACAAGACTTTATATACAGAGAAATGAAGATGTAAGATAAGATATAAATATCTACTCGTTCAATCAGAAACTAAATGAATGTAGAATAAAATATAAAAACGAATGAATGAAAATTGACTAACTTAACAATCACTTAACTACAAACCAAAAGGAAACATAAAATTATAGAAGAAAGAAGCTTGAATAGTTGGAGCAAGCTTTGATGCCAGAGCAGGTAACAAATAACTAATCACTGGACGGATGAAGAAGAAGGGAACAAAATTGATTATGTTACGAAAACACAAAGATAAAAGGAGTAACAACCTACAACTATTTAGAAACATGGTTAATGGAAGAGGGGAATTAAAATAAATTGTTTCTGGAATAGACTTTCTAAGAAACCCATTAATAAAACTGTTTTAGATCTTACTTCTAGAAAAGTTAGTTAGATTTAAACATAGAGATTCGCAGAGAAATGTTACGATGGCACGTCTTGTCCTCAATATAAAATGACCACTGATATAAAACAAACATGACCACTGACATGTGGTACCTTAGAAGAATGCACAGAATACTATGGATAAACAAAGTAATGAATAAAAAATTAAAATTAAAAATAATTCACCAAATTACCAAAAGTACTAAAAGTCTAATCGAATTAGGAAACTTTAGTATTCCATTTTCTTCATCTGCTCCTACCCCTTTAGTTGTTACATTTATTTTTTTTATTGCTTAAAAACTTAAATATTATCCCTTGAAAAATATTTTCTTTTAGGCACACGGTTATAAGCGAAGATAGTTCAATAAAAGACGTTGTCAGTTGGTATACGTCTTTAAACGCTGCGCTTCTAGAACATCTTACTCAACAAATCAAAGAAAATGACAATAGTGGAGTCTGGAGGTAACTTTTTGTAAAACTTTATAGAATTACTGATAATTAGTATATTTATATTTTTAAAAGTTAAGATTTTTGTCTTTTTCCTTTTTTATCCGCTCCAATACTTCTTGTCAACAAATAGTTAAATTTTTTTGTTTTTCAAAACTGTTATAGACTTTAGGTATAGGATAGACTAAAAAACAATCATTTTAACGGAAACTGTTAGTCGCTAATCTTGTTTAACATGATTGTTAGTGGTTACAGTTGAACATATTGCGCGAAAGAAATAAGCGCGGACGAAAACCTATCAAGTGGATGGAACTTAAAAAAATATCATCCACATACTTTTATATTCGTTGGTCTTTAAAAATAGCATTTCTGAAATCGTATCAAGTGAAATTAGCCGTGAATCATTTTAGGAAAATCCAAAATTATCCAAAATCCAATTTTAGAATCCAAAAAATATAACTTGATCTTAACGTTCGATATTTGATAAAACGCTGCCGGAATTACATTTACACAGATAAGGAAGAAATAATATAATGACGAGATAATTATCTGAAAGAAAGATTTATTATCTGGAGAGACTCGGATTAACGCCAAACAAACAGTTGGCAAAGTTTGGCATTTTAAAACAGTAACAAATGCCGCCTTGGCATTCTAACGAGGACTGATCGAAAATTCGACAAGCGAGACTAACTACGAGAAAAATGCCTTGTATTTACATAGAATATGGCCAAATTAGAATTAATGACAATAATCACGAAGCATCGTGGTAGATACGGTCAATATATTATAATATTGATTAAAAGTTAAATCCAATTGAAGTAATTTTAGCTCAAATGTGGCTTGAAAGAATTTCGAGAATGCAGTTGATGATATGTTAAAAGTAGATTGTAGATTAAAGTAATATTTATTTATTTTATTTATTTAAATTAACGTGCATGTGACATATATGGCCATCATTGAGACGAGTTACAGTTTACAGTATAAACGGTATACTTTATATATATATATATATATATATATATATATATATATATATATATATATATATATATATATATATATATATATATAAGATGGTGGTATTCTTGACTGTTGATTTAAATATAAATTATGATTTTTGAGGATGCAGTCAGTTTATTTGGCCCACAAGACAAAGAAAACTCTTTGACTTACCGTTAAGCTTTCGAATTTTATTTAATTCTTTTTCAAGACATCTATAAAAAGAAATATAAATTAACTAGTTAAAATTGTTAATTGTCTTACTTACTAGTCGTGAGATTACAGTTGTTAATACTATTGTACTCCACAAAACAAACGATTATAAATATATTAAAAATTTTTTATTAAAAATAACTATATTGTCACTATATATGTCATTGTCATGGTTTGATTAATGGATTGATTAATGGACATATATGAATGAAAATACAGTTACTTTATGTGGAAAGCAAAACCAGTAACAATAGTTTTTATTATAATTTATTTAATTGTCTATAAAAAATATAAATTAATCCAGTCAGCAGTTTGGGTTAAGCACATATGAATTTTTAATGTTAGGATGTCAATAGAAAATGAGATCTTGACGGTATTTATTGATATGTTAATATGTAACAATAAATGTTACTTAATTTGTCAATATCTGATCTTCTATTTACTCATTTTTTATTTTTTTGTATGTGTGTCATTTCTAAAAATAATATTGATCTCTTGATGATCTCATTGAGGAATGTTTAAAAATAATACCTTTTCATATTCAATTTGTTAAACGTTTTGTAGATGATTTGATCCTAGCTGTACCCAATGACAAAATAACTGATGTCTTAAATATTTTTAACAACCAATGTAGCCAATTACAATTTACTGCAGAAAGAGAACAAAATAACAGTCTCCCTTTTTTAGATATGATTGTCCATCGCACACATGACAATAGTCTTAAAACAGAATGGTATCGAAAACCAACTTCTAGCAATAGATTCATTAATTACTATTCCGAACATACTACAAAAATGAAAATAAACTTAATTTTGGGGCTAAAAAGTAGAGTAACTAGAATAACTCATCCAATATATAGAGAACAAAGTTTAAAGAGACTAAAAAACATACTAATTGAAAATTCTTATCCCGTTGGCTTACTCAATAAATTAATTTTTAGTACTGCAAACTCTCCAACCTCCATCACATTGATCGACAATACCAACAATAAAAAACAAATCACAGTAAAAATGGCAAATCAAGAAATAAACAATAGCCTGACAGTTAACACCTTAATACCAATAACACCACAAACTTTTGGATCTTTACCTTATATTCCATTCTTAACACCAAAACTTCTCAAATTATTTAAAGGATTAGAAAACATAAAAATTGCCACCAGAAATGTTAAAACCATAGCACATTTATACACTAAAACTAAAGATCCTTTAACAACTGATGAAAGTTCTAGAGTAGTGTATCAAATACCTTGCTCAGACTGTGATAAAGTTTATATAGGAGAAACTTCTCGAACATTACACAGCAGAATTATTTCTCATAAAAGTGATGTAAAAACTAAGAAATCACAAGCTTGTGCATTAGCTGAACACTCCATCAATCTAAATCACACATTTAATTTTTCACAAGCTTCAATTCTAGAGAGGCAGAAACATGAACAGAAACGGTTATTTTTAGAAATGACACATATACAAAAAAATAAAAAATGTGTAAATAGAAGATCAGATATTGACAAATTAAGTAACATTTATTGTTACATATTAACATATCAATAAATACCGTCAAGATCTCATTTTCTATTGACATCCTAACATTAAAAATTCATATGTGCTTAAGCCAAACTGCTGACTGGATTAATTTATATTTTTTATAGACAATTAAATAAATTATAATAAAAACTATTGTTACTGGTTTTGCTTTCCACATAAAGTAACTGTATTTTCATTCATATATGTCCATTAATCAAACCATGACAATGACATATATAGTGACAATATAGTTATTTTTAATAAAAAATTTTTAATATATTTATAATGGTTTGTTTTGTGGAGTACAATAGTATTAACAACTGTAATCTCACGACTAGTAAGTAAGACAATTAACAATTTTAACTAGTTAATTTATATTTCTTTTTATAGATGTCTTGAAAAAGAATTAAATAAAATTCGAAAGCTTGACAGTAAGTCAAAGAGTTTTCTTTGTCTTGTGGGCCAAATAAACTGACTGCATCCTCAAAAATCATAATTTATATATATATATATATATATTATATAAATATATATATATATATATATATATATATATATATATATATATATATATATTTAACGTAATTATTTCGATCAAAAATCAAAAAACAATTTATAAGTCTGTTGGAAATATCGGGATGTGGTCTATATTAAATAAAAATCTTACACTTAGATTTACAATACTTACAGAAATTAAAAGATTTCACACATAAATAAAATTCACATTAAAACAACATTATTGATGATGTATATGTACATTCAATAAAATGCATGCTAAAATATAAATATCTTTGAGCGCGTTCACAATACATAAGATGGAAACAAGTAAAAGTTATTTCAAAGTACAAAAAATAACAATGTCAGAAAACATTAGAGGAATACTATTTCTTTAATTATTCATTGAGGCTAGTTAGTATGATTAATCATTAAGGTGAGTGTAGTGTTAAATTTTGTTCAATATATTGCAATATATGTTACAATCATAGAAATTACTGCTGTAAATGAGTTTTTTTTTAAATATGTTTAGGATAGCCGTTGTTTCAAAAAATTTTGTATATGTCCAAATCTTTGTGTAACAAATTATTATCAACAATGGACATTACCCTGTTTTTCGTACCCAATACTGTATTATATTTTTGACGAGTGGTGTGGTTTGAAAAGTAATTCAAATATAATACCTGCCCGATGCTGTTGGCTTTTGGTACCAATCCAGTGTCAGAATATTGTCATTGATTCTTATTACCTTTGTGTCTAAAAATGGTATACTAAGATCTGTATCGGTTTCAATTGTGAACTGAAGATGTTCATTAAATGAGTTAAAGATGTTTAATGTGGTATTGATGTGATAAGATGGAACTGCATATATGATGTCATCGACATATTTATATATAAATGGTATTTCGAAAGGTAATTGCGTGATCACATTGTCTAAGAGGTGATCAGTTTCAATAGTTGCAAGGACTGGACTAATCGGGGAACCCATAGATGTTCCAAAAATTTGGGAGTAAAATTTTCATTGAAACTGAAATAAGAGTTATTAAAAATGAACCTGAGAATTGGTAAAAAATTACCTTTAGATAAGGTTCCAATTTGATTCTATAATGTTCGTGACCATATTTAGTGGAATGTTTGTAAATAAAGAAACCACATCCAAAGAAATCAAAACATAATCTTTTGGCAACTGCATTCCCCTCGACAAAACATTAACGTTGTTAAACGACAGATCGACATATATTGGTTTGGACAAAGACCCTACTACAGTGATACAGAAAAAATATAATGAGTTAATAAAAACATTAAAAACTTACTGAACAAGTTGCAAAAAAGTTAACAATCTGTGACTCATGTTCTCCTAAACTTTATTGTTTTCCTAAAATCCATAAATTGGACGTTCCTCTCAGCCCTATTGTAAGTTCTTTAAAATCCACTAAGTATAATATTTCTAAATTTCTTGCTGATATTTATAAGTCTTTAATACATTTATTTTTATTCCAAAATATATATATATATATATATATATATATATATATATATATATATATAGTAAACTCTTAATATATATATATATATATATATATATATATATATATATATATATATATATATATATATATATATATATTCTAAAACTAGTGAGAGTGATATCAGGTTTTTCGGTCAAAAAATAAAACGATTCTATTATGTCATCAAACTCGATATTTCGCTAATGTTTATTAGTTTCATTAGAAGTGCATGAGTGGAATCACTAAAATGCAAACTAGCACATCACAAGACTTTAACAATTAGACTGTGTATCTCTATTTTCTCTGGTGCATAGATTCAAAGGTTTCATTCAAAGGTTTGACGTCCAGTTTAACTGTTACACTTACTATTTTTCAGAGGTATATTTACATTCTTTAATTGGTGTAAAAATTTTCTGTGTGCTAACAAGGCGTCTGCTTCTTTGGCTCTGATTTCTTTCGCAGCACCACTGTAAATTATTAGATAGTCATCTAGCATAATTTTTTTCTTTCCTTTTTTCTTCGTCTCTTCTAGTGCTCATATATCTATATTTTTTTCCACAAGGTCTTTTGTAATGTCCTGCTCTCTTGTATAGAGACTTTATGTTCTAAGTACCGATGCGAAAAATATTTCTCGTTTTCCATAAATTCGTTGTCCTTTTTCTCGCGTTATCCTGGCTTGGGACCAGCGTATTTATGTAATAAAAAAAATAAGAATGTAGCTCCTCTTTTCTTGATCCTGTCATGGTAATATTTTGATGTCTTATCCCATATGGCAGGCCAGTGTTTAACAGCAGCAAGACACAGTTCTGTATCCACGTTGAAATCCATCGCGCAGTCATTGTGTTCTCGCTGATTGCCTAGCACAGACGGCCAATCCGCCCGAATTGTTATGGAAGCCACGTAGCAGAAACTGGTGTCCTCCCGGTCCTGGCCTCTTGCAAGTCGCTTGTTAGTAGCTTGACACCGCAGCTTCGCTTAAGTGTGCACTACCTAAAACTCGATCATATTACCTATTAACATGTACGAACAGCTATTAAAATATAAAACGATATTATTTTGATTTCGTTATTGGTAATAGACGGATTTGATCTGCACCTCATATAATTAGTAGGTACAGTTCACCCTCAAGTTACAGTTATTTGTCACCGTCCTCAATTTCTTGTGGTACTATAATAAACATGTATATTATCTCCCACGTGATATGGAAGCGCCTTTAGACTAAATGAGATATATACTAATTTTAAGACAAGTAACAAAATACAAATTACAAATTGTATAAAAATCAGAAGAGAAATCCGACAAGGAGATACGTTATCTCCCAAACTCCTTACGGCAGTTCTGAAACATACTTTTAAAAAATTGGAGTGGGAAGCCAAAGAAATCAATGTCGACGGCAATATGTTTTCCCACCAACGATTTACTTACGATATTAATCTGATGACAGAACTTATGCTTACTAAGTTAAATGGCGCCACTAATGAAGTTGGTTTGAATGTAAATTTTTGGAAATACAAAATACATCTGGTACCAACTGAAAATTCAAAAATCGACTGCAACGAAGTAGGATTAGTTCATAAATATAAAAACTTATATGTCATGCAATACAAATTGCCAGGGACAACCAAACTACTGAACTGCAAAGAAGAATCACTTTAGCATGGGCAGCATATGGAGCTCTATCTGGTATATTCAAGAGCAGCATGCCAAATTATTTGAAGAAAAAGACGTTCGACCAATGTTTTCTTCCAGTCATTAGTAACGGCGCCGAAACATTTTCCGCAACCTTATAATAGCCCAAAGAAAAATTGAACGCTCGCTACGTGGACTGTCTTTCAGTGACAAGGTTAGAAATAAAGATAAAGGAAGGACACGCGTCACAGATGTCATAGAGCGCAAAGCATGTGGCTAGAATAAATAACAAGCGGTGGATCCAAAATCGAATACTTCAACCTCTCACTGAAAAAATCATCGGGGAATATCAAACAGTGTTTAGGCAAAATAGATCTACCATTGACCAACTATTTACAATTAAACAAATACTAGCCAAAACATGGGAATATGACATGGACGTTTACAATCTCTTTGTAGATTTTAAACAAGCCTATAATTCAATAGATAGAACAGTTCTACCTAATGTATTGGAAGAATTTGGCATACCATCAAAATTAATACGACTAGTGCAAATGACAATGACAGAAACAGAAGCACAGATATGTATTCAAGAACAGATCACTGATGCATTTACGATAAGGCAAGGACTGAAACAAGGCGACGGACTGGCTCCAACGCTCTTTAATCTTGTTCTTGAATATTTAATTAGAAGGTTGACGGTGAGCGGAAATAACATACTTACAAACAAATCTACCCAATAAGCAGCATACGCAGATGATATAAACATAATGACCAGAACAGTGAATGCAGCAGAAAAAACCTACGTTGAGTTTAAATAGAGGGCAGAAGCAGTAGGGCTAGAAATAAATACATATAAACCAAAACTACTCAAACAAACCAGATCAAATAGACCGGTGCAACAACACTTTATTGATGGTAAGAACATGTGAATAGATTCACGTATCTAGGAATGGATCTGGTCGAAAGCAATGAAGAAGAACTGGAAATAAATAGAAGGCTTGTACTGGCAAATAAAGCCTATTTCGCGATGGGCCACATATTTAAATCGCGAGACGTACACCGGAAAACAAAACTCCGGTTCTATAAAACAATAATCGGGCCCATAGTAAGTTATGGTTGTGAAACATGGGTGGTGACACAGAAATCTGTCAATGCATTAGATGTGTTTGAAAGAAAAATATTACGTAGGATACTGGACCCAACAAGTGAAAACAACAACTGGCGAATTAGGTATAATAGAGAAATATACGAGCAATATAGCGAACCAACTCTAGCACAATACACTAAACTGCAGAAATTACGGTGAGCAGGGCACGTGGTCCGCATGCATGAGAATGAAATCCCCAGAAAACTTCTAAATGCAAGAATGCAGGGAAAAAGACCTGTTGGAAGACCTAAAAAGAGATGGGAAGACGAAGTAGATGAGGATGCCATGGACTGTTTGGGAACGCGTTCATGGAAAAGAACAGCGGTAAATCAAAATTATGGGAGAAGCTTGCTGAAGAACGCCAATGCCCGACATTGGATTGTAGTGCCATTGGATGTATGGTGGAACCAAAAAATTACAGTGTAGAGATCACGAGCAGATGGAAGAAGCATAGATAGCTCACCAACACGATTTACAGACAAAAGACGTCAGAAGAATCGCTGAGAAAAGTTGCAGGAAGCTCTAGACCTAGAGAACTGAAAGCAGTTAGATGAGGCATGTAATCAACTTTGGACTCAGAAGGCTAGATGATGATGATACTTATTTTTCTAGAAAAAAAATAGGGGCCTTAGAAGTTTGAATATTTATAAGTTTTTAGATTATTTGTATATTGTTTTTAGTCAAAAAGTTAGAGAAATATAGAAGTATTCCTTTAAGTTTTCAAAGTTTATTTTGACTTCTAGAATGTTCTCTCTGCCTAATTTGCCAAATGCCTAAAAATATAAAATGTATCTTTGTAGCCGTAAGTATTTTCCGCAATTTATCTTCGTGTATTTAACGGTACTGATGGTGTCATTCATACATTTTTTCAACCCATATTAGTACAATTGGCAAATTTCTTTTTTTTTACTGTATATTTTTGTTAGTTTTGTCATTTAGAAAATAACTTACCTGAATTTGTGTAGTAACTTCTCTTTATTCTTTCAGATACCTATTAGCATTTAAAAATCTTCTGAAAAGTATAGAAAGCACTGGAATTTCGATGGTTTACGGTGTAAATTACTTTGGACAAGGTATCTTGCATTCTCAAAACTATATAAACTATATAACTCACGACGCTATTGCCAAAGATTTGCTCAACACGTCGCTAAACTATGTATCTCAAATGAAAAGGGAATACGAAGACCTAACTATTAATATGGTTAATTATGGCCACATTAAAATTAAGTAAGTATGAAAGAATCAGTCCTTAAACTATAAATTTTCAGATCAGGCATAATCTTACGGTGCGGTGGTTTGTTGCATCTCTGGTCGCTTTGCACTGCTTTCTAGGAGTGTTGTCCACTCAGATGACTGCTGATTTGATTCTGGAGCAAAGTAATGGATCCGTGTTTCATGCATTGTACCATACCAATGCAAAAGCTCTGACTTAAACATGCCCAAACAGCGTTTAGACTCATCAATTCGTTGTTGCTTTTGCTCTGGTGTAATGTGTGAGAAGACGTAGCACCCATTTGTAAAACAGCTTTCTTATACTGAAATATTGGTGTATAGTACTAAAAAGGCTTTGATACCTTTAAAGTGTCAGCTATCTTGCAGTTTTCCGTAATATTTTCAGCTCTTTTTTTATGTTTTCGTGAATAACTACCTCATGTGCCTTCCAGAGTACTCAGCATCATTGTTGTCGCGTTTGAATTTAGCAAACCATCATTTAATAGTTGTAATCGATGGAGCAGAGTACCAGTAACACTTTTAGAGCAATTATTCAGTTTTGGCGTATTTTTCCCATAAAATAATAATGATAAATCAGCACATGAAATTGGTTTTAAATCATTGTTTAGAAAAATCACAAACGTAGCGTCACTTCAAGCAAGCATTGTAACTCTATAAATACTAATCTTCTTACAATGAATTGGTTGCTAGTATGAGTCTGTTTAAAACTGATTAGTAGAAATAGATGACAGACTTAAAGCAGGTCCAGACGATTGTAACGTGTAATGTAAGATTATGTGTAATTTATTATCAACAGTGTGGATCTCATACGAAACCGCAAGCTAGACTGGCTCTAACACTAAGATTTTTGGCAATCCCATCTTCTGATTCGTCCAAGACCTCTCTTAAGATATTTTCAGAGTATATGGAAAATAATGCTGGACTTTATAAAATGCCTTCTTAAAATCAATAAAACATTATTCCACATCGCAGTTGACATCCCTGGCTCTATGTATTAGAATTTGCTAACTAAAAAGTGCTTCCCTTGTTCCGAGTCCTGTTCTGAATCCAAATTGAACTTCACTCAGGTGTTCTTCTAATTTGGTGTATATGCGCGAGTTAATGATAGTAAGGAGTACTTTAAGTACATGGCTCATCAATCTAATTAATCTATGTTCTTCACATTTTCTAGCGTTGGCTTTTTTAGGAAGTGGAATGAATATTGATAGTAACCAGTCTTTTGATAAGTATCCAGTCTCGTAGATACTGTTGAATACCTTCGTAAGAGCTGTAATTTGGTGTGCCTCTAATAGTTTTAAAATTTCACGATGTACCCCATCAGGTCCTGGTGAGTTCCTGTCTTTAATCCGCTTAATATTTACTTCTTCGTTTGTTATTTCTGGGCCATAGGAATTATTTATTTCAGTCGGACTTCGTACTGCATCTTCAAATATTTCTTGCATATATTCTTGCCATCTTCGTAATTTATCTTCAATGGTAGTCAAAATCTGGCCTTTAATGTCTACAACTATGACTGTATTACGTTGTTTCATGGTGTTATATACCTCTTTAACTTTTTTGTGTATATAGATATCATCATGTCTGCGTTGTAGTGTTTCAATTTCCGTGCATTTCCTTGTCAGCCATACTTCTTTTGCTCCTTTTATCTCCTTTAGTATAGTCTTATGTAACTTTTTATATTCGTTGTCTTTTCTATCTTTTAATTTTCTTCGCTCTTCCATTATCTGCATTATTTTATCTGTCATTTATTCTTGATTCTTTTCTCTTTTTTAATAAAAATCTAGAATACATGAATTTAAAGGGTTACCGCAGTTCCCTTTGATATTTGAACCTAGAAATAGAAATCAAATCCAGTCTACTGCTGAGATAGTTTATAAATCAATAATAATAGCACACTAGAATCTTTTGGCATATTTTATTTGGTATATCTTTTTTACTGTCATTGATTTAATGCCTGTTTTCTAGGAATGATATAATAATGAAAAATACAGTGCGGTTACCAAATTACTCCGAAGCTTTGGAATATTTCGACATGATGGCGACTTACACAGATGAACTACGAAAAATTCAAAGGTCCCTTCGAGTTCTTATACAGTAAGTAGGTACCCAAATATTACTACAATTACATAAGTAAATAATAAATAATATAAAAATGTTTCAATGGTTTTCACTTTTTTCAACGCCTGGCACAGTTTTTATCATTTGTTAGCACTAGTGTTAACTACTGTTTTTGACGGTATCATTTTTCATCTTCGTCTTCTTCCTTAGCTTTTCCCTCTTCAATGGTCGCTTTTGCTTACTGTTCTTCGCCTCTGGTAGTGGCTGGGTAGATTAAGTAGCTCAGTAACTATCAGTGCCTATCAGAGCGGATAAAGGAGCAGGTGTGCGTCATGAGTGAAATCCAGCAGTAGCAACCTACCTAAAACCATTTAAGGACATTATTTTTTATATATTTTTTTTTTTTCAAAAATGTTTGGCATTTACGTAATGTTACTGTTATTTCACTTTTTTATCTATTTACTAGGTGCATCAACATTATGTAGTTATTAGCTCTATTTGGGATTAACAAATATATAGGTTTCAGTACAATCCTATGAATTTAACGAAATATAAACCTAGTGAAACTTTGAATCTCTGTAACTCACTTCAAACTGTAAATCATCAACAATTGATTTATAAACCTTGGGGCGATGAGAACTTTTGATCAGCATAACCAAGCTACCTATCTGCAAAGTTTCAACCAATTTAACTGAGACCACTTTTACATAAGAAAATTGCTATCGCTCAAATACTAAACACTACTATTAAACTTTTTTTGTAAAATTGCGATATTTTACAAGTAAATTTTTGAAATATTTAAATTTGGTGTTGAAGCACCCCCTAAAGTTTGTTTCACATATGTACTAAAAACATGTGTTTTATTCACACACACACACACATATATAATATATATATATATATATATATATATATATATATATATATATATATATATATAATATATATATATTATATATATATATATATATATATTATTCAAACGGTCTAAAACTCGACACTTTAAAGCGTTGTAACTCAACAACAATTAATTTCTGGGTATGGGGCAATGATAACTTTTAATCAGCATGACCTCTCTGCAACTACTACCAGCTACTACCTCTCCAGCTAAATTAACTAAGACAACTTTTCGATAAGAAAAGTACGGGGTCATTTATCGTAAACACTACTCTTAAATTTTTTTTCAAAGTTGCGGGATTTTACAATATCAAGTTTTTAAATATTTAAATTTAGTGTTAGTCTTCCTAGTTCTAGTTTTTGCTCATAAGTAATTTTATTAGTGACTTGTAAATCTACCGAAATTCATTTTTAAATATATTGTATTAAGAACAACAAACAGGTATCCTACTTTCTGTACTTTAAAAGATTACACGTAAGAATCGTCTTTATAAACTACATTCATTTTACATATTCCCAATTGTCAACAGATGCACGTGAAAGCCAAACAGGGTCATACTGATGTGTATCATATGATTTTTTAAAATATTTACTTTTGAAACTATTAGTGTAAGAGTTTCTTGAAATTTAATCATTAAATCACAATTAAACTAAACTCTAAAAAATAACACGACCAGTAAATAACTTAATAATATCTATAACATAAATATAACACACAATGTATTAACTTAAAATCCAACACGATACAATTTGAATTTAAACAGACTGGCAAGTTTGGATCTGCAACATGAGAATATGTCTGGCTTAAGGCAATAAATTATATTTAATAGCCTCTTGACGTGTGAGAGGGCGAATATCAACACGTGCGTGTGTTTACAGATGGGAATTTTCTAAACGAATGAACTTTAGGCAGGTAAATAAATCTACAAATGCTTTGGTTTTGGCTGAATATAAATCATTGGGACGAGAGGTGAAACAACTTAGTAGGAAAGCATGAAGGTGTCACAATAAAAATATTTAGAATAATGTACAAACTGGCCCTAGTAGTTTTTGGTTCTTTACAAAATCCCTTAGTCTAAATAATACAATTTCAACAGAGGTCTCTTATAGAGGTGTGGATAGTCAGGATATTGTCAATGTTTTGGCAGAATACTTTGGTTCTGTATTTCAAAGACCAAATATGTAGTATCAATAGCACACTGAATCAAGGAGACTTTCACTTTTCAAAAATAACACTTAAGAATATTCTCCAAAGCATTAAAAGACTTAAACCAAAAAAAGCCACAGATAATGACAATATATTAGCACACATTTTTAAAGGTTGTGCAGAGACTCTTTCTGTCCCTCTTACACTAATTTTTAAGTTGTCCCTTAAACAAAGTAAATTTTGTAATCAGGTAATTCCAAGTCCAAGAATTTCTTGTCAACGAATAATTCTCTGTTCTTTATGCAAACCAAAACATCTAATTTACACTTGTCCTGATTTTCTCAAACTAGAAACGTCATTAAGACATAATGAAGCAAAACGCTTGCGACTTTGCATAAATGGTCTGCGTAGTGGTCATTTCACTAAAGAATGCAAATCTTCCGGGTGTCGTAAATGTGGAAAAATACACCACACACTTTTATGCACTGTTAATGCACTGACAACACGTAACATTTCGTTTGAGCACAACTCTACTACTTTGCTGTCAACTGTAAAAATAAACGTCTTTGGCACCTCAGGTAACGAACACGAGGCTCGTGCACTTCTAGATAACGGCTCTGAAAGTAATTTCATTTCTCAGCGCCTATTAAATCTTCTAAGGTTGCCTACAACCAAAACACATTTTTCTATTTCTGGTATAAACCAAACAAATTCTATTGTAAGCTACAGAACATTCTGTCACATTCAATAAGAAAACACTTAATATCCCTTCCAATATTACACTGGGCGATCCAGACTTCAATATTTCTTCTCCTATTGATCTTCTTATCGGTGCAGACATCTTCTGGAATTTAATTTGTATTAGTCAGATTAAATTATCACCTGGACAACCGATTCTTCAAAAAACCAAACTTGGATGGATTATCTCAGGTCCATTATTTCCAAACAATACCCTTGCAGCCAGAACTTCATGTCATTTGTCGACCATAAACAAGTTAGGCATTGAAGACCAACTTCAAAAATTTTGAGAAATAGAAGAATGCCCAAAAACAAAATTTTTGTCTAACGAAGAACTTTTTTGTGAAGATCACTTCTTAAAAACAACCTCTCTTAATTCTTCTGGTAGGTTTGTAGTATCACTTCCCTTGAAATCTTCCGTTGACAATCTTGGCGACTCTAAGACTACAGCAACAAAAAGGTTTTATTCTCTCGAAAGGAAACTTAATGCGAATTTTGAATTAAAAGATGATTACACTCGATTTATCGATGAATATTTATCCTTACACCATATGTCCGTTTCACCCTTTGAAACCACAGGCTATGAGTTCTTTCTTCCTCATCATTGTGTCTATAAAGGCAATAAAATTCGTGTTGTTTTTGGCGGTTCTGCCAATACAGATTCAGGTGTTTCCCTGAATGACATTCTTATGGTTGGACCTAATTTACAAGATGATCTTTTCACTATCATCTCACGTTTTCGTAAACATAATTTTGTACTAACAGCTGATATAGAAAAGATGTATCGACAAATACTGATAAAGGAGGAAGAACGCTCCTTACAAAAGATTATATGGCGATCTGATCATACAAACTCTCTTAAAACTTATACTTTAAACACCGTTACTTATGGCACTGCTTCTGCTAGTTTTCTTGCCACTAGATGTCTTCAAGAAGTGGCACATATGTATGCAACCGATTTCTCCGACATATTTTCTATAATTTTACGGGACTTTTATGTCGACGATCTTCACACAGGTGGTTCTACAATAGAAGATATCAAACGTATTCAATCACTTACTTCCGAATTATTGTCTCGTCATGGTTTTCAATTGAGAAAATGGAAGTCAAAGGCACCTATTTTAAACTTTGACAACCAAAATAAGGTTTCCTTCGAAATTGGAGCTGACAATACTATCAAAACTTTGGGCTTATTGTGGAGTCCCAAATCTGACACTTTTCATTTCAATGTTCAACCTATAGAGCACAAGTGTAAAGTTACAAAGAGACTTATTCTTTCCACTATATCAAAAATATTTAATCCACTAGGTTTGCTTTCGGCTGTAACTATAACAGCTAAAATTATTCTCCAAGATTTGTGGAAACTAAAAATTTCTTAATTTTACAGACTCGTAGTGACGAAATAGTTCATGCAGTGACAATTAAAAATCAATATAAGGTTGAATGTTCGAATAAATGAACTTTGATGGTACACAAGGCAAATATCGAACACAGTATTTAATCAAATCTTGCCCAAGTACTTTCGATCACAAGATCATCTTCAGGGGCATCTGAAATAAGCCAAGAAACGTTTTTTAAAAAAGGAAAATTAATTCACTTGGATAAAAACTCCAAGTTTATAGTTGAAAAAAGTTTTTTTATGTGATTAACGTTTATAGACTTACTTCGTCAGTTGTGGCCTATCTAGCAGTAACAGAATGTCATAAATGTAAATTGGGACATAACAAATACACTAAACAAAGACAAACAAACACTTTAAAATTTAAAATTGGAGAAGCTACATTTTATATAGAAGCCGGAGACAGAATGGCTCCTAGCCTGGCGGAGGCGGAAATATTGAGATAACATGTGACAAATGACAGCTTGTGAAGGGCAGTTACAATAGATAAGTGATCTGCGCCTTTCAAGATTCTATGAAACTAAGTATTGACCAAAGGTCCAACTGACACCACTATAGGAAATCAACTGAAGAAATATAAAATTATATCTAATATTTTTATGTAGATTGAATAATAGTGATCGAAAGTACTTGGGCAAGATTTGATTAAATACTGTGTTCGATATTTGCCTTGTGTACCATCAAAGTACAATTAAAAATAACAGAGGTTGTTTTATGCGACCAGTGACAAAGGTGTGCGTTCTACCCACAGATCAGTGACTTAAGCTTTAGTGAAAGAAACTTTTAACTCAGCTTTATTACTTGTTGAACCCCTACAGGCGTTCAAGGGAGGCGGCTTATGTTAAAACTTTCGAGCAACCCCGTATACTACACTTTAGTTCAGTACAACCATGGTACAACCCAACGTTCACTTTTCACCCCTCGAGAGGGGATGCGGGAAGTGACGAGGAGAAGAGAGATACAGTCCACACCCGAGTCTCAACACAGAACTTCCTTACGTTAAGGACGCTATTTTTAAATTTATTGTTTACAACATATTTTACATGTGCCTTTTTACTTCAATATAGTTTAGTTTAAGTGATTTGTTTTTTTTTGTATTATTACGTGAAATTCTAATAAGATTTAACTTACATCCTACACACATTTATCGACGTAATGTCACATTTTACGTTTGTCAACTTTATTCAAATATAAAAAAACACCACTTAATAGTTTACAATGTATTTAATTTAATTGAGAGATTTGTATTTTATCTTAGTTAACTTTTTAAGGGACTATGTAGACGAAAATCTCCAAAATTCTGCGAACACGGAGGCAATGGGAATAGCCATATTAGTACTAGTACTATCTGTTTCGCCGGTAATCATCTGGCTCGTACGAAACGCGGTAGCTACTATACAGGTTAGTAATAATATGGCTTGATGTTAAAATTGTGTAGCTAACCATTTGCTCAGTTATATGCTGCCAATTTAGCCAAAAAGGCCAAGGAATTGAAGCGAGAGAAAAAGAAAAGCGATTTGTTGCTTTTCCAGATGCTGCCACCGATTGTGGCAACTCAACTGAAGCAAACCAGACAGGTATGCATTTTAAATATAAGAGTTGTTATAAAAGTTTTTATTTATATAGCATATATTATCACAGGAATAGATAAAAAAGTGTTATAGAAATGTTCTACTACTACTCTTTATGATAGCAATTTTAAAGTCTAAAATAGATATATTTAATACTATTATATTTATGCCGATCAAACCTGTGTAAGTAAAAGACAAAAAAAATAGCGCACGATATTGTTAGGTTATTATTATACATAATTTATTAACTTTTATAATTATTAACCATAATAATTCACATACAGTTAAATATCTAGTCATAGTATAACGGACTTGTTACAGTATCTAATAAAGCATGACAATGCTGACCAGTAAAAAAGAACAGTAGATTATCTAAATCGCAAGTTAGAGGAGGATATATCACTCCTGACGTTCACTTCACAACATCCAGCAAAAAGACAAAATAGGGAATGTAAAGGTAGTGGGGGCAAAAATATTGTTAGACAGGTAGTGCGATCTTTAGAGGCCACATTAAACAAGGAAAGAGAGTCTCTCTCCTTGTTTGACATCAAATTTAGTTGGGTTCTGTTATTGTTTGTCCCAAATGGCACATGAAATCTTATTTATATTGAAGTTTTTTAACAATTGTGTCGCATTTTAGACTATTACCGTTAATTAATTAAAACTTTCTCGTCTAATACACATTCTGAAAAATATTATATAGCTGCTGTTAATAAGTGTCGGAAAATTTAAATTTGGCGCATTCGCATTTCTAGATGTGTCCGTCATCAGAGGCCACTTTTTTGGTCTCCTTTTCATAAGGATTAGATTCCCTCTTTTGTCTTTTTGCTCGATGCTTCACACTCACTAGTGTATCGTTGACGCTGTTCAAGTGAATTTTAAAAGTATATTTACTAATTTTTTTTTTTTGTATGTTTCTGAAACATAATTACGTGAAGCTTGTTTAGCTATGTAAAATTAGTAACGTCTACAGGAGCTATACAAATTTTAAGTATTTTAATTTCACAATGTATGTAAACAAAATTAACTTATCTATAATTATATGGGTCAATATTGACAAAGTAGTTCGACATCCACTTAAGAACAAAATATCAACTACCTTCTGAAGAAAACTCGTTGGATGATGAAGAACTATCTCAGTCACTATTTTTCACATTGATATGGTTTAATTAAAATATCCACTCAAGTGCCTAGATCCCCCATTCTACTTTCTTCTTTTTTAGTATATGTAATGCAATTTTTCCATTAGTCAGGCGTAACGTTTTCTGTAGCAGTAGCTAGCAGGCCTTTCATTTCATCCATTTTAAATGGTAACTTTTCCCTTGCTACTTGATTTTTATTTCTTTATCTTTTATTTTGTTCGCAATGATAAGTAGGGCAACAGCATACAAATTATGTTCTTTTCATCAGCCCTTTCGTCGACAATATATTTTTTGTATTTGGGTATATGTCTCCTTTATGATTTAATAGTACTTTTAACATAAATTGTCATCGTATGATATATTTCTTTGAGAGATTCAGTTTATGATATCAACTTTCCGCCAAGCAGTTGGGGTTAAGTATGCATTAGGTGTAGGTGGTAGGTCAAATTCAGCAGGTCTCTCTGTGATGCAAGGTATAGTTGTATTTAATTGAGCTTTCAACAATTCGTGGGTCCATTTGGTGATCATGTTGAACCCGATAGCTGCGGCCATTTCTGTGGTTTCTATGGAACATTTTCTGGAGCGCAGTTGACTTTTGGTTGCATTTTCTATAAAGTTATATATCGGCAGCGCCGTGTTTTTAAGAATCTTTTTATATTCTTTGGTGAGAAGATTGGGTCAGTGATGGTGTGGTTGTGTAATGTCGCTTAGTACTGGTAGTAAATAGGTTGATTACTCCAGCGATCATTCTCACAGTGTTATTTAGTTGGACATCAATATTTTGAACGTGAACGTTGTTGATCCATATTGGTAAGCAATATTCATTTACAGAATAAACAACAGCCAAGCTGGATGACCTGAGTGTAAAAGTCAATCTTCTTATGTTATGCCGCAGAGCTTCTGAATGATGTTATTTCTGGTTTATAGCTTCTTGGCAACTTAGCTTCTTCTTTTTAGCTAAGAATAGAAAACGATGGAAATTATCCATCCAGCAATGGGCCTAAAAGGCCTGTTAACGCTGTACATACATACAAGCTTCTTGGCAACTGTAAATATTCTCTAAAGAAAAGTAAAAGGGGGAAATGACAGTAGTTGGCTGTATACCATAGTTTAAAAACTGTTGTTGGCTTGTATTATCTTGTGGGCGAAATAGTCCCCCTTTCGAGCAGAAAAAAAGTATCTTCTCTATAGGTGAACTTCTATAACATCGATCTCGTATCATTATTTTAATAAATATAAGCATGATTGATATCTAATTGAAAGGTAATCTATTTCAGTACTAGTTTCAACTACTTTTAAAATGTTTCACTGATGAGGGTCGGACTGGGCGCAAACGTTTTAACAAATTGTAATCCTTTTGGATAAATTTTAATTATTGTTTAATAAAATAAAATATACCATTATACACTAGTTTTTTTTCTTCTTCTCTAAAGTGTTCTGTTCAATGTCAGGCCTAGGTATTTGGGGTATTTATTGTGGTTGAGTCGTATATTATTGAAGTGAACGTTGAGTGTTCTTTTTGAAGCCATATTGTTGTTAAATTAAAGCTGGTTACTGCGCTGTTAGCAGTGGTAAATCTTACAAAAAAGACTGTCTGCCATTGGAAGTCCAAGAATAACGCTTAATCGTCATCAGCATTTCTTGAAATTTAGTGCCTATAATTTTGAAACTAGTCTATAAGAAGTAAGATATTTACAACCAATACATACACCAATATGTATAAAAAGGAATGTTTTTTAATAACGTTTGATTCCTTGTGCAAAAATTGTAACACTTACTAAAAAATATCTTAAAAAACTATCTTCTTCTTCATGTACCATGTCCTTTCAGAACGTTGGTTACCATCATAGCTATTTTAATTTTATTCACTGCCACCCTAAATAGCAAACTATCGATCTTGGTATTAACTCTAAAAGAAAGAATTTCACATGTCATTATAAAAGCCAGAACAGTGATCTGTGGCAAGAATAAATGACGCCAGATAATTTAAATGCATAATGGAGGGCATCCTACATTTGAGGCATATCGAGATAGGGTAAGATCTTTGACATGATGGACGGTTGATATAAAAGAGTTACAACAAACTAGATCTACACGGCACAAGATGGGGAGCAGTCGAAAAAAATAAAGGACTCCTTTGTTCAGCAGAAGAAGCTACAGGCTGTGTAATGATAATGACATTGGATTTACAATTATCATCCTGAATACAAACAAACCTCAACCACTTAATTATTTCAAAATAATTATATGCTAATAATAGATGTGCAAGAGCAAGCTCGAAACGATTGTTGCACTTTCTACTTAGAAAGATTTGAGATGAACTAGCAGTCCCACTGAAAAAATACCCATCAAACGTGGAGTACGGCAGGGTTGTGTTTTGTCACCCACTCTTTTTAATCTGTACTCTGAAGAAATCTTTAGGGAGGCTTTGGATGACAGACAAGAGGGAGTAAGACTAGGTGGAGAAGTAATCAACAATATTAGATACGCTGACGATACAGCCATTCTTGCAGAAAGTTTACAAGATCTCCAAACATTACTAAATCTAGTCAGTGAAGCAAGTTATCGGAGAAGCCTAAAAATCAACATTTCAAAGACAAAGTGGATGGCAGTTGGAAAGATCCATATAGATCAAGGTCTGCTTTCTCTTAATGGAGAAGAGATAGAAAGGGTAAATCATTTCAAATACCTTGGCAGCTGGTTAAATATAAATTGTGTCTCTGATGAAGAGATAATATCCAGGATCGAAATATCACGTAAGGCTTTTATGACCTGGAAACCAGTTTTATGCAACAGAAACCTGTCAATGAATATTCGTAAGAAAGTCCTGAAATGTCTTGTGTGGTCGATCCTATTGTATGGTTGTGAGACATGGACGTTAAAAACCACAATGCTAAACAAGTTAGAAGCATTCGAATTGTGGTGCTATAGACGAATCCTAAAGATATGGATTTCGCACACTTCCAATGAAGATGTTCTTCAAATGATCAATTCAGGACGTCTGCTCATAAACACGATAAAGAGGAGAAAAACAGAATACTTCGGCCATATAATTAGAGGACCTAAATACCATTTACTTCGCCTTATAATACAAGGAAAAGTGGAAGGAAAGAGATGGATTGGTCGAAAGAAACTTTCATGGCTGCGTAATATTAGACAATGGTGTGGTTTCACAGTAGAAAAATTATTTCGCGCAGCAGCCGACAGAGAAAGGTTTCAGGAAATTGTAAACATGATGACGGCCAACGTCTGAATACGGACACGGCACCCAAAGAAGAAGAAGAACCAGTTCTTGCTGAGGGCTGATAGATTGTCACTAAAGATTGGTATTTTGGAACTGCTCAGACGACCGTCCAACAAAATTTTTAAATTGATTTGTGTATGTATTTATTTTATTTTACTTATATATTAATTTTATTTATGAATAAGCGAAGCTTGCAAATGATTTTTGTTATAAAAAATAGAAACTTGGCATCGGACACTTTAGGTTACCTGTAGATAAATAAAATCCTTACTTCTTGGAGAGAAAAAGGCTTCAGGGCACAAGGTACTTCAGGGCAAAAATAAAAAATGGAAAATGGAAAGTGTTTTAATTAAGTTTTAATAAACTAACACCTTTTATTGAAACTAAAAGAAAATGCTTTGAAAAGTGTTTTATAAAAACTTTTGTAATATATATTTGAATATGAAGAATATACTTGTATTTTAATATACAGAACAGTGTTTGTATTGTAATATGTTCATTAAAGTTTCAACAACTTTACGTTTACCATATTAATATATGTATATAGATTTTTCTTATTTTTTGTACCGCTTTGTTAAAATACGATTGATTTTAATGAATTAGCAATATTTTAATAGTTTGGATTTTAGGTGCCTGCTGAATATTACGCATCCGTTACGGTCTATTTCAGTGACATCGTGGGTTTTACTGAAATAGCTGCAGTAAGTACACCCCTGGAGGTAATAATTCAAAGTATTTTGTGTTATTTGGAAGTAGTTCTTGTTGCTTTTTTAGGTTGTAACTTTTCTCAACAAGATATACAAGCAATTTGATGCTAGAATAGAATGCTACGATGTATACAAAGTTGAAACCATCGGTGATTCGTACATGGTCGCTTCGGGACTACCAGAAAAAAAACGGTAAATTATTTTAGATAACGTAATAAAGGAAAAGTACAATGATTTTTAACAAAAAACAAAAATTTTTCCAAAAGTAAAACTGATATTCTATATTGAAATTGTGTTTGTGTGAAGTTAATTTTTACTCTATTTATAGACGTTATAAAACCATAATTTCAGGTTAAAATACGTTTATTTTGACTAATTGATGGATTCGACCGTTACTTGATGGAAATTCATTCTATGTAACAATAAAACACTGAAAACTTTGTTTTTAAACTTCCTACTACTACTATTGCTATAGATAAAATAGAATATAATAACAAAACAATAGAATTCTTAAATAAACACAATATTAAAATACTACACAAAGATCCGACAGAAAAATATCAAACACAAATTATTCTAGCGTTAGAAATTTCAAAATCAAGAGTAAATCCAATAGAACAGAAATACCTCAATATCGTGAACCCACAGCCTCCTAAATTATACTCTTTTCCTAGTATCCCTCCTACAGAAACTTTTATTCTAGTAAAAAACCTTTTAGACCAAAAAGTACAAATCCAATAATTACATCTGAAATTTTACATCTTCTTGAAGTTTGCATAAACCAGGACTAATTTGAATTTAACAATCAAATATATACAAATAACAGTGCAGGAGTTATAATGGGCAACCCTCTTAACCCATTGCTATCAGATATTTTTATGCATCATCTAGAGACAAAGATTTTAAAACATCCCGTATTTAAACAGTTTTTATATTGGTGGAGATACGTAGACGACGTACTGGTATGTTTCACAGGGACTAACAGGCAAATCGGCCAATTTTTATCGTATATTAATTCACTTCATAGTCATATTGAATTTACAATAGAAACAGAACAAAATCAATCCATAATTTTTTTAGATTTAAAAATTATTAGACTTAAAAACAAATAGTATGTTACATAGATTAACATAAATTCCGATGTCAAAATACAGCTTTGAGACAGAATTAAATATAATTAAGCAAATAGCAGTAAACAACGAATACAACGAACAAACAATTAATAAAATGTTAAATCAAAAACTACATAAGAAAGCCCTGAAATTAGTATTTGCACCACCAGAGAAAAAACCCAGTACCTTCTGCTCGATTACATATCTATCTATCTATCTAATTAGCCTTCTTCGGTCCATCTTTGGACACAGGCCTCCCCAATCATTTTCCATTCTGCTCTGTCTGTCGCTACAGTCATCCACCTAGAGCCCACGTGCTTCTTGATATCATCTGCCCATCTCATTTGGGGCCTTCCTGTGCTTAGTTTATATTTCCACGATCTCCAACTTATAAGAATTTTGTTCCATCGGTCTTCTTTTTGTCTTATATTGTGTCCGGCAAATCTCCATTTCAATTTTGCAACTTCTTATCTAACATCCCTCATCTTTGTTTTCTCTCTTATCCACTCGTTTCTCTTTTTATCCATTAGTCTTATGTGTAACACTTGTCTTTCCATTGCTCTTTGGGTTTTTATGATTTTGTCCATGTTTGCTTTTGTAAATGTCCACGTTTGGGAACCATAAGTAAGAACAGGGAGTACGCATTGATTGTATACTTTGGTCTTAAGATGCTGTGGATATCTTTTGTTTTTAAGAATGAAGCTTAGTTTGCCAAATGCCGCCAATGCCAGTCTAACTCATCTCTTTATCTCTGCTGTTTGGTTCTCTTTGTTAAGTTTTATAGTTTGACCAAGAAATATATAATCCTGAACTTGTTCTATTTCATCTTGTCCGATTCTAATTGTGATGTCTTCATCTGTATTTGTTATGGTTTTGGTCTTGCTGTAATTCATATTAAGGCCTATCTTTCCAGCTTCTACGTCCAGTTCTTTCATCATTTCAAATATTTCTTCTTTTTTATCAGTTATCAATACGATATCATCAGCGTACCTTAGATGGTTCAAGCGTTGTCCTCAAATTTTTATACCTTTTTCTTCTACCGATTCTAATCTTTTAAAAGTATCTTCAAGAGCCTGATTGAAAAGTTTCGGTTATATTGTATCACCCTGTCTCACGCCTTTATTTATTTGTATTGATTTTGTTCCTTCATATATTTTAATTGTTGTTTTGGCTTCCTTATATATATTGGCTATTAGTTTCGTATATCTGTGGTCAATTCTGCTGTTAATCAAAGGATTACATATCGAGGCAAAATATCAACAAAAATAGCCAAACACATAAAAAAGAAGGAAATAACACAAACTTTCCTAACAAATAACAAGCTAGGCAAATGTATTAAAAACAACAGGATGTAAAAACTTACATCTGTCAAACTGGTAGAAACTTTAATAAATGAATAGCAAAACATAAAAGGGCTTTCAATAATAGAAAAACAGATTCCACATACGCACTTCACCTTCTAGATCATAATCATTCTTTTAATGACAAATTTAAAATTCTTCACATTCAAAATAAAGGCCTTAAGCTATCTTTGTTAGAATTTATGGAAATCAACAAATTAAAAAACACAGATATAATTCTGAATGACCAACTTGAGACAAACAGTTCTCCCCTCCTCAACCTATTGCATTAGAGACTATAAAGTGTAAACGCATACCACAAATAGATCACTTGAGAAAGGCAATCAGCCGAAACAGCTGATAAAAGTTAAAATAAATTTTGTGGAAATTTGAAAACAAAGTTTTCAGTGTTTTATTGTTTATTTTGACGTTTATTTTCAATTCGAAAATCGTTCTCAAAACGATCTTTGAAGTAGAAATCGAAATCTTTTGTTCCTTATTTCATTAGTATTTCTTGGAGTTTTTCTTGTCAAATTTCATACTACGATAATATTAAATTTTTCGGCTATTTTTCTGTGTTGAATTTTTTTATCTTTTTTTGATTGTTTTATATACTGTACTTTTATTTTTATCAATCTTTTTCTTTGCCTGTTTTGTTCCTCTTTTTTGTATTATTCTTTCCTTGATTATGTTTCTGCTTTCAGTTGTAATGAGCTTTTGTCCATCCAATTTTTTTATTTTCTTTTTTTTTTTCAAACGTGAAAGTTGCTAATTAAAATACTCAACCGGTGTAACTTTAAATTTTTTCTCTAGAGTCAAATTAGATGGTTTATCAATTATTTATTTAAATATTACATTTTGGTAATGTACATAAAAAGTACATAAAAATTAAAAAAAAAGAAACATCGAAATTCACAAACAAGAAACAGAGATGAAGTTAACAGCTCCTTCCCCCTCACCCGCTCTCAAGAATTTCACAGCCGACCGATTTTGAGGACCACATTTTTGAAGCTTTTTAAACGATGCGAGATGACAATAAAATGTAATTTTTCGAATTCCTCACATTAAAACTTAAAAGCATGTTTTAACCGATGACATTAATAAGATCTCTTACTTGTAATAAACAAGCTTGCTATCAATTAAAAACAAAGTCACTAACTTCTTCCCAAAGTGTCCTAGGTCACCTTTTTTTTTTTCTTTACCTTAATTTGTTAATAATTAATTAATTCCAAAAAAACGACTATGGGAAACATAAATATTTTTGTTACAGAGGTCCATATTACTCAAATCAACTCTCGTTTGCCTGGCCGGTTTAGGTACCTTTTAGGCCGGGTACTTTTTTTGCTTATTGTCCTGGTCTAATAGTTAAATTCTTGTATCTTCTGTGGATAGTATTATTTATTGTCTATTGGATAGTTTCGCATTAAAAGCAAAATGCCAAATTTGATGTAAATTTTCATTATTATGTGGCTAAGTGACTTCTATCTGATGATAGGATACGCTCACATAGTACGATTAGACCTAACATCATATTAAATGATATTAACTACGATTTTTTATTTAGGAAGCAAGCATATATCTGAGATAGCAAGCATGGCTTTGGACCTTCTTTCTGGATCGAGGCAGTTCAAAATACCGCACAGAAAATCCGAAAGACTACAGATTAGATCAGGAGCTCACACCGGTCCGGTCGTTGCTGGAATCGTTGGTTCGAAAATGCCTAGGTATTGCCTCTTCGGCGATACCGTCAATACAGCCTCTAGGATGGAATCCACAGGAGAAGGTAATTTATGTTGTAGTATGCGAGTAATACGAAAAGATTTGGGATGTTGCTGATATGTTACTCCTTAGTCAAATCAATAGTGATAGTATGTTTTTGATATTATAAGCATATTATAAGAGGAAAAACAAAATAATGTTTATATCATATGGGTTTAAAACACCTAAGGTAAAATAAAGTTTTTGGATGTCATTCAAAACTATTCTCTTTGCTATATTCTAGGTTTAGTTGATTCCCTACATTAATTTTTCATTTATTTAAATTTGGTTTAAAATTATTAGATAACTATTGAATAAGGCGTTCCGTTTTCTTTGCATATTTTTAATTTTAATAATAATTAAGGCACAAGATTCGTAGTCTTAACACACTTAACTGAATGGGGTGTCGCAATAAGACGCGAGCTAATAAATAGTTCAGGCGTAATCCTTGTTGCATTACAGGATCTGTTTATACACGTTCAGTCTAAAACTCCGGTACTGGTTCACACCCTTCGACCTCAAAGTAGACATTGCGTCTTACAAATACAAAAATTAGCGAAATGGGCTGTAATTTTAAAATAAAAGGAAGAAACTACTAAAATTTACATTGAATTGTAAACTCTTTTTACTAAAAACAAATACAGGATTTGAAAAAGGACACTACAATGAAGGTTGAGGTTAAATAAGAAAATCAATATACACTCCTCAGTACAAAATCCCGCCAATAAGAATGTTTTATTAAGTTTGAAAATTTATAACTTTTTTATTTGTCCGATTTTCAAGATTCTTGCATCAATTTGTAAATATATATATATATATATATATATATATATATATATATATATATATATATATATATATATATATATTGACATAGTTTGTTATAATTCTGGTAATAAACAATTTTTGCTTAGATGGCACTATACGGGGTTGGATGGAAGCGTTATCCTTCCCTGGAGAATAACCCGAGTATTCCTCTATCATCGCCAACCTTAACTGTACCAAATTTTCTGGAGACATAAGTCGACGGTGAATCTTCTTCTTAGGGTTCCTGTCCGTTCCAAACATTTACGATAATTCTGGCTATGATGATTTTGTTGGTTGCTATACACAATAGTTGTGTTGAGGTCTTTATATACCATGCTCTCAGGTTAGCAAGCCAGGATATAAAAAAAAATTATTTCAAATCCTTTATAAAAGGTATATAATAAAATGCCCAAACGGGCTATCACAAATATATTACAAAACGTTTTCGGATTGTTAAATCCATCATCAGTGTAAACGAGGTATACATGCTATGAGCCACCAAAATATATGGGTCAAAACCCTTTAAATGATATAAATTTACAGTTGCTTTACATTATATGTGGCTACAAATTATGATGTTTAAGTTAACGTTGGAATTTGTAACATGGCGACGTATGACCCTACATAGGTAAAATGGTCCTGAGACGAAGTGTCTTCGAGGACCTGTTGATAACAACTGATAGGATATACTTTTTCACCCTGGGGCCCTTTTTTCTTAAATTTTACCTTAAAAATGCTTTGTAGTAGCTAATATCTGTCTTGATTTCTCATTATATGTCCCAAGTACTGCGTTCACGATGTTGACCAAATCCGCAGTTGTGTTAATCCTCCGTAGAACTTCTTTATTGGTGACTTTGTCTTTCCATGGTATTTTCAATTATATATTTTGAACCATAGCTCAAAAGCCTAAAGTGTTGATAGAGTTTCCGCCTACAGTATCCATATTTCTAATCTTTAAGGAAGCACTGAGTATACGTTACATTTAAAGAGCCCTATTTTTGTTTCTAGGGTGAAGTCGTGGCTCTTGAATACAGAGCTCATAGTTAAGAATGCACCGTTTGCCTTTTCAATGCTACACTTAATCTCTTGGGTATTATCCCACGACTCATTGATTATAGTTTCCAAGTAGTTGTATAATTGTATAGTTTCCAAGACACGTTCAATTTTTATTTGGCTCACATACAGATTTACTCCAGTTATGTTTTCCTTGCTGGTGTTTATATCCAGTCCATATGTTCTACTTGTTTCCGTTATTTTATTTATTAAGTTTGACAGCCGTTCTATGGTTTTAAAAAAACACTATTGTACCATCTTCATACCGCAGGTTATTGAGCTTGACTCCATTTATTGAGATGCCTTTATCAATATCTTTTAGAGCCTTTTCAAAAATGTGCTCCGAGGACAGATTGAATATCAGTGGTGAATTTATACACTTTTGTCTCACTTTCCTTAAGATTTTGACCTGATTATATCCGGTCGATCCATATTCTCGATATATTCGGAGAACCGCTGATTGATTTCAATACAGGTTAAATATTATTTTTAAGTCTCTTCCGTCAATCGCTGTCCTCTTCAGCACTTCCATTATTTACTCATGCCTGACTCTATCGAAAGCCTTGTTGTAGTTAATCAAGCAAGCAAAAACATCACAGCTGACATCTTTACATTTCTGAAACAATACCTGCACGCTAAATAAAGCTTCCCTCGTACCAACGACATTTAAAAATCCAAACTGATTGGGTGCAGTTTGTTCCTCGCATTTTTGGTTATTCCTTTTGTGGATGATTTTAAAAACAGGTTCAACAGACGGCTCATTAGGCTTCTGGATTAGTCGACGGCGAATAGCTCCTTTCAATTAATTAAATAAATGCTCGATCGGATTGAGATCTGGTCTGCATACGGGTCATTCCAATTTTATCAATCTAATCTCATCCAAATAATTATTTACAATATGAGCAACGTCAGTTTTAGCGGTATTGTGCATTATTTTAAACGGGTTTCCAATGAAAGGTGCAAATGGAACTACCACATTTTGGAGAACTTCTTTAATGTAGCGACGGATACTAATAGCTCCATTTTCAACGAATGCAGGATATATATGTGCTTCGTTACAAATGCCTGCCCAAATCATATCGAAACCGGCATGATATGATATTCTCTCTAAATAAGATTCTCACTGCATTTGCAGTCGGTAAATGCTTTATTTCGAGATCTGCGAAAAAATCCTTGATTCGTCGGTGAATAAAACGTTACCCCATTGTTGTACATTCGCATATCCTTAGGAAGAGTATCTCTTTGATCCCTAAAAGATCCAACGATATAGCGAACATCAGCTGCAATAGTTGATCTCTTTCTGCCAGAGCCTTGGCGTCTTGCCAAATTTTTAATCTTTAGATACCTATTCCAATCATCTCGAACTGTAGAACGCGGAAATCTCAAAGTTCGTGCCATGTATCTTTGGTAAGACCATTTTCTGTTAAAGCAATAATTTTAGCCACGTCTGCTACTATCAATACCATGATGATAAATAAGTTTTCTCGGTCTCACTGTCATTTTGCTGGCACTGTCATTTTTAAAAATGAAAATTTAAATTGCTGCCAATGTCATTTAATATTTATCGACGTGCCAGGCAAGATATTTAGGTCTATTAGTCAATCAGTGTTTTTATTTACATTAAATTGTGCAGCTCTTACAAGAAAAGAGATATTGGGATAATTTAAAAAACAAAATCTTTGGGATGCCTCCAGTGACGGCGCAATATGTGGGCAAGATGCATTTTACGAGACCCTCTGCTCGCGCATAAAGAGAGATTTTTTAAAATAAAAAACATTTGTTATTTCATTATTAAACTTTTATTCATGCAAAATCTGGTCAAACTTACAACTAACTTAAATTATTTAAGATATTAAGACCTACCAACGTTAAAAAACAATTTAATTTAAATATTACAGGAACAGAAATTTTCTACTTTTTACACTGCTGAATTGTTTAATTTTTAATTAGGGGCTTGTAATCTAGCTTGGATGCTGTATGTAAGCTCCTTTCAGCGGAGGCTGTACTAATTGGTATTGTTAATAATATTCTAATGACGATATAAATGTTTGGGTATATATTTTTTTAAATATTATCTGTAATGTTGTGAAGCAACTGTTTCACTTATGTTATAAATTTAGGTAAATTAGGGATCAATATTTTGTAATTCTTCGTATAATTCGTAAGGTTGAAAGTCACTACACTCACCCTCTCGTAGGACTGTGTCTAAATCTTGACAATTTTTTAATATTTGACTTTTGATAATATACAAGGCAAATATCGAGCACAGTATTAATTTAATCTTGCCCAAGTACTTTCGATCACTAGATCATCTTTAGGGACATTTCGTCAATTGCGGTCTATCCGACAAGAGTAGAATGTCATAAATATAAAATGGGAAATTACAATACACTACACAAAGACAAACAAACACTTTAAAAGTTTTGAAGATGGGCGAAGCTGCATGGTGTATAGAAGCCGGAGACAGAATCATTCTGTCGTGTATTATCATTACGCCGCAAAGTAGCACTTAAATCAAATCTATACTGGCATCAAGTGGCAAGAATAAAGGTTGAACAAAAACTGTCGAATAAAATAAATATAAAAAGGGGAGTGAGACAAGGCTGTATACTGTCGCCTTAACTTTTTAACTTATATTCGGAGGAAATATTTAAGGTAGCCTTAATGGAGACAACCAAAGGTATTATTGTGAATGGAGTAACCGTCAACAATATTAGATATGGCGACGATACCTTAGTGCTTGCTAATTGCGGAGAAGACCTTCAAAAGCTAATGAACAAAATAAAACACACTTGTGATCAGTATGGATTAAAACTCAACGTTAAGAAAACTAAATATATGATAGTTGGCAGACAAAATTATATACAGGATGACGGTATAAAAGTCGGAGATGCCACACTGGACAGAGTAGAAAAACTTGTGTATCTCGGCAGTAATATCAATGAGAGCTGGGATCCAACCGCAGAAATTAAAAACCGAATAGAACAAGCCCGAGCTGCCTTTGTAAAAATAAGAAACGTACTTTGCAGTCACGATCTTAGCATTGACCTTACAGTTCGAATGACATCTTGCTATATCTTTGCTGTCCTGCTGTATGGAGTGGGAGCGTGGACTCTAACTGAGGCTATCCTTAAACGCTTGACAACCTTTGAGATGTGGGTATACAGACGACTACTGAAAATAAGCTGGGTCGACAGAGTTAGAAATAAGGTAGTCCTTAGACAGCTGAACCAAACAACACAATTGGTCAATATAATAAAGAAACGCAAGCTGGAATATTTCGGTCACATTATGAGACATCCTGAAAAATATGATCTTTTACATCTGATTATTCAGGGAAAGATCCAAGGTAATCGTGGTCCTGGTAGAAGAAGAACATCATGGGTGAAAAATCTAAGGCATTGGTATGGAAAATCAACTACATCGTTATTTACAGCTGCTGTCAATAAAGTCACGATAGCGAATATGGTAGCCAACATGATATCCAACGATCGATAACGGTCATGGAACTAGAAGAAGAAGAAGATTCGTCTTGTTTCATTATCCTGAATATCTGCTGTAACTGTTGTTCATTTCTCACTTTTCGTATCCATTTGTGTAAAACACATGCAGCTTTTATTTCTTTTATTACTGTGTGAGGAACAAGTGATATTGGGGATCTGAATACGCGAAAACGGGCTGACATAATTTCAAACGCATTTTCTACTATACCTCTCTTCCTACAATGTCTATAATTGATTGCTTTTTAAGCAACAGTTAATCGGTTTCGTCGGGGACAGAGCTTCATTAAATATGGCTTGAGTGGAAATGTTTCATTCGTAACTCCCAATATTAATAAATGTAAAATTATAGTTATGATCCGCAAATGCCAGCAGTACAACGCTAAACGTTCCTTTGTAGTTAAAGTATTGAGGACCGGAATTCGAAGGGCACTAAATCAATACATTCTTATCAGAAACTGCCTTATCGTACACTTCGGCACTCTGTAAAGATACTGCAAAGATCCTAGTGAGTCACCAGTAACAACATATCGGCAAACTAGTTGAAGTTTCAGCTTTGCTGATAGAGCCATTCGCATACCGGTATTATTCTTCTGTATCTTAATGCTAACCTTAAAAAATATATTTTTTAAAAACAAAATTTACTATTGTCAGGAGTATCAGTTTAAAATGTACCTACCTTATTTACTAACGTATTAAACATTTTGTCATTCATGCGTAAAAAATTTAAAAATTTTTGGGATCCTCTACAGCAAGCTCTTTTAAAAGTGTTGCAGAAGCAGCAAGTGTACTTCTCCTTTTTATCCATTTTCTCACTCATACCTTTTTAGGTTTTTTAGTTTTCCTCTGTTTTTTTTAATTATTTCAACATCAGTTGCCGCAGCAATTACCTCTGTATTGGCCATCTTGTTATTGATTACTATGGTGATATTTTTCTATACGTGTAAACACCTCACTTTCATGATAGCACTATCGAGGTTACTATCGTGAAAGTACTTTCGCGAAAGTACTATCGTGAGAGTACTTTCGCGAAAGTACTATCACCGTGAAAACGAGCCTTTACAGTGTAATTTCATTGATTTTCAGCATCCAAAATACATATAAGTCTGGACATGAAAAGAGCTTTGGATTTAATTGGTGGATACAAAACCGAACATAGAGGATTAGTGGACGTAAAGGTAAGTATATAAATAAGCATATACTTGTAAGATGTGCAATGTAGTTCTTTAAGTATAATATTTGTAGAAAACAAATGATTCTCCTTTTTGTGCCATATCAAAAGTATCCGACTTTGGCAATCATGACAAAGGCTTTAGGATCTTCATATCATATGAAAAAAATGTCCTACGTTTCGAATTTCGATTCAATCTCCAGTGTTTCTCAGCCAAGAATATTGCTTCTGGCCTACACCGTTTCAACCTTCTATTTTTACCTCAAAAAGCAGCTCCAATATTTTATATCTATCTCTTTTTAATATATGCCCCAAATGCGACATTATCGTACATTTAACAGTCTTGAGTAACTCACCATTCTTGTTGGCTGGTCTCAATACTTCGGTATCAGTTAAATGTACCATACAAGGATTCCTTAATATTCGCCTATGTATCACATTCTGATATTTTACATTCGGTTTATCGTTGGTACTTTTAGCATCCATGCTTCTACTCTATACAACAGTACTTGCCAAACATAGTACTTAATTATTATTTGGCTTAGTTTTGAACTGATATGGTTTTTACAAAGAAATGTTCTTATTTAAACAAAAATTAAATTCTGTGTTTTTAGTAATTCCGCAATTTTTTTCTATTTTAAAGTCTAGTTAGTATGTTATGATTATTTCCAGATATGTAAATTTGTTAGCTCTTGGTACTTACGCTTAATTAATTTTAAGTTGTGTATTTGGATGTAAGTTAAGGCTGTAGACTTAAACTCATATTCTCAAACTTCCATAACCCTAAAAATAAAAGATATATATATATATATATATATATATATTATATATATATATATATATATATATATGTATATATATATACACATTGTATCAATTATTAATTTGCTTATTGGGGGCTAAAAGAGGGGACTGAACTGAATTACTGGGCTTGGAGACAGGGTAAGTAAAAAAATTAAAACCTTTGCGAACAGCTACTCGTGTTTTGATTGGAGAGCTAGGCCGTGGGTAAGGATTTCATTTTTTGGGGAAACTGAAAGAATTAACTAGGAAAAAGAAATCAAAAAATACTTATAGAGATGTCCTGGGCAACACTAAATAAGAAGATTTATAAACTATTTAAAATTAGGACACCGTTTAAAAAAAACCCCTTGCTGTTTAAAAAAAAGTTTTTCTTTTCTAAAAAATTTTAAAGGCGAATATCTTTTTAAAAGAATTGATTTTAAACTCATATTTTATAATAAGTTTATAAAACTATATAACTAATAAATTTAAAGAAAAAAAAATTACATTTTTATTTTTATTTCACATAAAGAGTTATTATAAAAAAATCTATTTAAATCAACAAACAATACATTAAGGGCCGGTTTCACCAACAACAAATAAATCACTGAATAGTTAATCGTCGAATAAAATTTATTAGTAGAATAAATTTTATTTCGTTTCAATAACTATTTATAATCCACAGTTAGTTATTTGTCGAATAAGTTTAAAGTGTAATGCTTTTCCACAGACTGTACTCGTTGACACCTCTTTTGGCCTCCGCCTCTTAGGTGTTTGGCCAGGCACATTGCACTATTTGTCACTGTAATTCATCGAGTTAGAATCTGTAATTATATACATAACCCATAATATTTGATATTGGTTGATTTAATTTGTCAAAATAATAATAATTGTCAATGCCAATGGTCAATACATATTAGAAACGATCCTGTTGCATAAAAACGAAGAGCAATTAACAATTGATTTCGCACATCTATAGGTCTATTTTTGTTGCTTACATCAAATTTAATAAATGATCTACTAAATTTTTTGATAATCTAAACCTAGTTTTAAAGTCCACATCATCAAATTCAGCAAAAGGGTTTCTTCTTTGCAGCTGCCAGCGTGGTCTTCTCCTTCGCTGTTCATTTCCGTCATCAGAGGATGATGATGATGAAGATAATATTCGAAAATCAATATATATGTATACAAAATTAAATTATCTGATATAATTACGTTTACCTGAAATACATTATTGATAATTTCAAGTTAAACTAATGAATTTTCTTTATTATTGATATTTAAAGTGAGGTTAGCTGTCAACTTATTCGAAGAATAAATATGTATTTGGCCGATATTGGACTAATAACTTATTTAGAGTTTATTTATAGAATAAGTCTTATTAGACGTTGGTGAAACGCAGATATGTCAGTTTTATTGGTCGAATAACTTTATTCATTGAATAGACTGCTATTTGTCGTTGGTGAAACCTGCCCTTAAGTTGGACCTTCTAACAGCACAGAATTGAAATTATGGTTATGCACCAAATGGCAGAAAAGGATGTAGTAACTGTCATATATCGAAATGAACTTCCAAACTTTTCTGAATTAATAATTAATTATCAAAAGTTAATTTTACGTAAAAGAAACTATAATCTGACATTTAGCTGGTACATAAAACATATTTATTTTTAAACTTTTTAAATTGGCGTGAGAGCAAATCCTGTTATATTAACGATGAATGTTTATTTGGAAAAATTTAACAAAACTACTTGCTTTACTGATTGATTATTTATTTTTAAATCATTAAAAAAAGTTTATTACCTTAGATTTCAGTACAAAAGCACTAAGCCACAAACTTCAAACAATCAAAACCTGACCCATGGGAGACACAAAATGGATGCTGGACAAATCCTGGAAGAATTTAAATCATATACCAAAATCGAACTTCAGCTTATCTTGGATGGTAACAATATGTACTCTTTAAACTAGGCTGCCTATTACCCACTTAAAACCATGTCGGCTTACTTAGCCCTCATACGCTGTTATCAAATCCCTTAACACAAGGGCACAGCCCCAACAAACGATGATTAACTCATATTACAAAGATTGCCACCTCGCATTTTGTGCCTTAATGCGTCAGAGACGCAAAAGATTAAGAACCTTTTTCGATATTTAATGATATATGGGGTGAAACGAAAATGCTGCAATACCCCTACGTAAGAGCGAAAACTGGACAAACAGGAACAGTTTTCGTTTAGGGCAAACAGAATTTAGATTGAAACAACAGTTGCATTTTCGCATAGCTATTGCAACAGCGCGAGTATTAAGGGGTAGCTTGAAATATGTTAAAGTGCATTCCAAATCCAGTGAATCAAATAAAAAAATAACAAACAAAAATCACAACATCTTTACATTCAAAAATAAACTGGATGCTCCACTTAATGAATCGACACCAGGTACAGTTCGCTGGCTTTTAGGCACAACGACCAATGTTATATTTCTATGAAAATGGCTTTAGCCTAACCCAAAAAGGTAGAACAGATCGGTGTTGAAGTTTTTGGAAGTGAAAATAGGGGTGCTTTCATCTCAACAAAGGCGGATGGCCAACAAATTAGCTTAAGCAAGCTTTGATATGGTTATCCCCTAGGTAGATAACCAAAATAGCATTAAATAATAAAGTTGACTATGACTACTAGTTGAAAATCGAACTAACACAAAAAGAAGAAAAACATTAATCGAAAACGTTAATACACAATTTTGAAAAAGAAAAAGAAAAACGTGTATATGGCATACAAGCCATAATCGATACATAAACAGTTCAGTCTCAAAATAATGTTCTTCCAAAGAAACAAAAACGTTATGACAGTCTTCCAAAGGAGCAGAAGAATAATTTCAACCTTCCAAAGGAACAGAAAAATTAATACAATCCGTCGTCAATAACAAAAAATTCGTGATTTCGGATGTAACACACCCCAACAATAAAAAAGTAGAAGTTAAACAGTAAAACATTTTTAACACCTAAGTGAATCCAGTTTGGTACACAAATTTTAAACTTAGTGGCAAGAAGAGTAAAGAAGAAGAGTATACAAAAGGCGAAAACTAATGCTTATCTTCCTTAGAAGCTCAACAGGTCACCTGGCGGACGAATTTAAAACTCATCGCCCTAGCCGTTACTCTCGTGACGACTAAAAGGTCAAATATAGTTTTGAGGGGAAATAAAAAGGAACCATTAAGAAAATTATTTTACAGATGATAATTTAATCCAACGTCATCCATATCACAAAGAAATGTTCACTATTCTTCAGCAAAACTCCAAAAGAGACATAACAGTCATCCTGTAATAACATAAAAGTGAATGTAATAAAAATTAATAAACAGTTTAATATATTTCAGGGAAAGGGACTGATGGATACCTACTGGCTAACTTGTAAGGAAGGAGGCCTAAATAGGACCGTTGAAATGGACACACCTTCGTACTTCCCGGTAAGTAAATCGAACTCTCAGTTAAATAAACATATATCATAAAATAATTTTTAAAAACTGCAAGACATAACACGAGGATAACTAATAATTTCTAAAACTTGTATCAGTCTGATTTCGACGCTGGATTGAGTTAGTTTCGATATTCCTAATTTCCAGTATAATGAGGTTCTTATTTTTCTCGTTTCGTTTTCTTTCGTCTAGTTTAAACATTATTAATTGTCAAATGATGAAAAGTAATGGTATTATTAATTGTTTTTATTATTGTTAATTGTTTAAAACATATATTAGGTTAGTGGATTTAATATCAGAAGTCTAATATCAAAAAATAACCGTTTTGGAAAACACTTACAATGTAATGTACTTACATGTAATGTAATGTAATTGTAATTGTAATTACCATTCTAGCTAGTGCTCCTTGTTTTGTGATATAAAAGTCCCAACCTCTCGTACCGAACAGCCCAGCCTGCGTTTATTTTTAAATTTGTTGTAAATAGATATTTTAATACAATAAGATACAACGGTATTCCTTTGAAAGGAAAAGGCGGATATGCAGGCAAAAATTTTTATTGAAACAGGCAGAAATGTAAACAAAAAGGCAACATAAACCTGCCCATAGCAATAGTTACTTGCATTCCAACTATAATCATTCCCCTTCACAAATGCATTCAATCATTAATACGCTTGTCTCCAGATCAATACGCCTTTGCGATGATGCAAGAAAAATACTGACAATATTTACTCCCCAACAAAAACTTTCATCTCTGGTCCGATCAATTAAAGACAACAATCCAAATGAACAACATGGAGTTTATAAAATTCCTTGTGCAGGCTGCCCCCGATCTTATATAGGCGAAACAAATCGTAGAATTTAAAATAGGATTTATAAACATTCCATTTATGTTCGCAATTCCGACTTCATTTCAGCTCTAGGTCAACACCATATTTATACAGGTAATAAAATTGATTTTGAAAACTTCAGAACCATAGCCCCCATCCGCTCCTATAAATCAAAAATTATCCAAGAAGCCATAGAAATTAAAAAGAGGCAAAACTGTCTCAATAAAAGAGATGATGGTTACCTTTGACTTGGAGACCTTTCATAAAGAAAATATCGTCTGCTACAGCTGTCAATCAAAATCCTACTGTTAGAAATGTTTGCGTCAACTCCCACGCCAGCACAGCGCCAATCACAGCGCCAATCCTCGCGCTAACTCCCATGCCAACCTTCACCAAAACCACGTAACCATCAATGGTATAAATGAACCATCCGTTGTTCCCAATACCAGTAATGCATTGGTAAGTAATCAGTGTAGTAGTGTCTGGGGGCTATGAATTAAGTTAGGATAAAAAATCTTTAAATTAGCTGCAGCTTTTTACATATATGCCACATTATCTGAAAGGATTAAAACTATATTCATCACTGGTATAGAGTTTGTTAAACTATCTTGTATAAATCTACTTGTAGATAATGTTTTTTTTGTTCAATTCTTTAAGGCTTTCTCGCAAACTTTTCTTTTAAAATACCAATCATTAAATTATCCAATTATCCATATAGTTGCCGCATACATCTGTCTTTTCATTCACAATAATATACAAAAAATTGCCCTCTAACTCTCTCCCCCCCCCTTAAAATATCTTTTCTCAATATAATATCTTTCTTCTTCTTTGAGTGCCTCTCCTATTGGAGATTAGATATCATTAGGGCGATAATTATATTTACTGCTGTTTTGAATAATTCGTTAGTGATACAACCAAACCACTCTTAAATTTCTCATCCAGGACATTCTTCTACGGCCTGGATTTCTGCGTCCTTGGATTTTTCCATGCATTATATTTTGTAGGAATGTGTACTTTTATCCTCTCATCAGGTGGCCTAAGTATTGAAGTTTTCTCTTTTTCATATTCAGTATAACTTCTGGATCGTTATTTATTCTGCATATTACGTCTTCATTTGTAATTTTATCGACCCAACCCACTCTCTTCCGTTAAGAATTTATTAAAATGTGTTACAAAAAGAACTCAAAGCTAGGATGATTAACTTTATGCAGAAGAATGTTGGATGCAATAATTATCTGGCATAAATCAAAAATTTAAATGTGTCTTCGTTCTTTTTCTTTTTTAACTGCCTAAGCTATCTCGCGTTGTTTTTTCAATTTTCCCGAATTACGTTTATAAAGCGTGGTTCTACATGTTTGTCAATAAAGTACTTTTTACTACTTAAAATCTGAGAATTTAAAAAAATAACAATAATTAGAATTTTAATACTACTTTGGAATTCAGTTATCGTATAAAAAAGAGAATGAAAGAAAGAGAAAAAAAAATAAAACTTACCGATTTGCCATACAGTTTACTATGGCGGTTCAAGTACTAAGCCTACAAAAGAAAAACGAAAATTTTGAAAAAGTGGCGATTTATTTTTCAACATAGTCTACTTTTAGCTCGATACACTTGACATAGATGCTCCAACTTCTTTAACCCGTCTGAAAAATACGTTTTCTAGAGGTCTCCAAAGTAGGTTCCCGTAACGGTGATGACCTCCTGATTCAACTTAAACTTCTGCCCGGCGAGTGATTTTTTAAGTTTGGAAACAAAAATAAGCCATACGGATCCAAATCTACAGAATATGGTGGATGGCGCAACAGTTCCTAGCCCAATTCGACCAATTTTGCCATGGCGACGGCGGAGGTATGCACCGTTCTGTTGTCATGGTGGAAGAGCACTTGTTTCTTTGCTAAATGGAAAAGGGTCGTTTCTTCTGCAATTTGGCGTCAAATCGGCCCAATATTTGGCGTAGTAGAGCACTGTGATCGTTTTGCCCTTCTCTAGGTAGTCGACGTAGAAACCCTTGTGAACCCCAGAAAATGGTGGCCATTAGCAGAGTCTTCGCCTACTTCGGAGCACGTTCGCCGGATGCTGCCACTATTTCGACTGTTTCTTGGTCCCTGGTATGTACCAATGGATTCATGTTTCGCCAATGTTTACGAAACGACGTAGAAACTCCTTCGGATTACACTTGAACAGCGTCAAACACTGCTCTGAAACGGTCTCATGATTATGCTTGTTGTCTGGAATGAGCAACCCAAAATTTCATGCAGGATATGACATACTCGGTCTTTTGACCTACTGTCTCAGCTATCTCGCACACCTCTAGTCGGCAGTCTGCCAATACGAGATCAAGGATTTTTGTCACGTTATCCTCAGTGGTAGCCAATTTCGGAGCACCTAAGCGTGGCTCATAAAAAACTACCGTGCGACCACGTTGAAACTCGTTAAACTTTTTTGAGGATAATGATCGAACGATAATAGTCACCGCACATAGCATTCAAGCACTTTTTCATTTCACTGACGGATTTCCTTTGCAAAAACAAGTCACCGACCGATATTGCTCTTTTTTCATTTGTCTAAAATCCGCGGACACACCCGCTTTCACATCCGGTCGAAACAAAATGACGAGTCATATTCGGCTAAAATTTTGACATTAGCAATCTTCCAGAATGTATTACACAACACTGATTTCTCTTAAGATAGTGGCGCCATCGGGCGGTGAGGCTAAGTACTTATCGGATCACCTACTGATTACACCTACTACATTATGTTTTTATAGTTTTCCAGGTTCGAAAAGTTCCGAGTATGGTTTAATCCATGCACTTAACTTCTAGTCACTAAACAAACGTCTGAAACTTTTTAAAATGTGTTTTTTGCTTTCCGTCATTAACAACAAAACTAAACTCATATACAGTGACATATTGTGAAACTGACAATTGTTTATTAAAGAAGAAAAAAGTTAGGGATTTCGGAATAGTCTCAAGCCTCGACCAGGACATTTTCCTAGAAATCTTTTATAATAAACATTGACATTTTAATATTGACCCAAAATTTTATTATAGAATGTTTTAGTAATAGTACTATGAAAAATATCATATGTGGTAGCACACAATTTTAAAAAAGACACAAACGCATGACTATGTCTAGTCGTACAACGTGTGGCCTCTATAATTTGAGCAGTCTGACCTATAATACATAATAATGTGATATAATCACAAAAACTTTATTTTGTCTTTAAAAACACAAGACTTATATAAAATATAAATAAAATCTGCACCAAAACGCAGACAACTAAATAATTTTAAATTATAATTATTGTTAATGAAATTTGTAATATTACTAAGTTTTCATACATTTTTAGGAAGAAGACGACGATCTGGAGCCCGTTTTCATCAAGAGACTGAGGAATGAAAGTTATTTTTGATCTTAGATATTTGGTTTTTAGGTTAGGTGTTAATTTCCAGATATGAATATTGTTAAGAGTCTATTGGAATGTTTCTGACATAAAGCGAGCGAAAGTATCAACGAAGTGAATTAGTTTAATTTATTAATGTGTTGATTTTGCGTATAATTTGATTAAATCATTGATAAAAGTCTTACCAGATAATTTTCTGACAGTATAAACGTAAGTTCCTCCTCGATTTCTGTGCCATGCGTATTTTTACTTACTTACATATCCTGATACTACAACTCTATTTTCCATGAACTTTTGAACAGCTTTTTATATAGGACCCAGTCATCTCAGATTATAAGCTTAACGGATGTTTCCGGTAATGTTAAAAACGTACAGTGTAATAATTACAAATAAAAATATTATTGAGTGTATCTCGTTAAAAAAAAAAGTGTAAAAAAAGATTTAGTTAAATCTCACTTTTGATTATAAAACCGAAAATTGTTTCTATCTATATAATATTGTTTTAATGTAAGTACCTATGTGTCGTATATACCAAAACCAAAACAATATCGATGCACGTCATGTTTTACTTGTTATCGTATTTCAAATCTAGAATTCCTTAGGAGATACTTAGATTTCATATTTATCTTTGATTGGATTGCAGGGGTAATGGCGTAATAACATTCCTGTGTTTTAATTGACAGCATTTTAAAAACCTTTCCAAACATTTCTAATTTGTGTGCATTTGTCTCATAAGAAGTTGTAAATATTGATTTTTTGATTGTTTGAAGAATGAAATGAGGACTTCTGGTTATGAACATTCATTATGTCTTCTTCTTCTTTTGGTTCCTGTCCTCGGTGGATGTTGGCAATCACATTGGTCCATACAACTTTGTTGACATTCCTGGTACTCATTCCTGCCCACTGTCTGATATTCTTCAACCACGATGTCCTTCTGCGCCCTTGAGATTTTTTGCCTTCTATCTTGCCTTGTAAAATTAGTTGCATTAGTTGATACTCCTTATTGCGCATCACATGCCCTAAATATGTAATATTTCTTATTTTCACGATACGCATTATTTCCAGATCTTTATTCATACGTTGGATCGCGGTGTTGTTTGTAACATGATGGATATAGGAAAGTCTGAGCATGCGGCGGTAGCACCACATTTCGAAGGCTTCTATCGTTTGGATATTGCCTCCGTCAAGGTCCAGGCTTCGACTCCATGAAAGGGTAGAAAATACATATTACCTCAAGACTCGGGTTCTTATATCCATGTTCAGGTGCATATTACATACAATCTTCCGAGGCTATTGAAGACAGCTCTCGCCTTTTCTATACGACATCTTATTTCCTGTGAGTGGCCCCATTCCTTATTTAGGCTGCATCCAAGATATGTAATTTTGTCGACTATTTTCAAGGGTTTATTATTAGCTGTGACTTGATACTGTATTACGTCGTTTTTACTTACTACAAGAATTTTGGTCTTCTTGCAGTTTAATTTCATGCCGTATCTGCCACAGGCTTCCACTACACGGTCTATTAATGTTTTCAGGTCCTCTGCATTATCAGAAACCAAAACCGTATCGTTGCATATCTTAAATTGTTTATGATTTCACCATTGATTTTTATACCTTCTCTTAAATTATCAATAGATTCCCTGAACAGCATTTCCGAGTAAGTATTGAACAACGTCAGTAACAAAATGCAGCTCTGACTCTGTACTCCCGGATTTATCGTGAATTCTTGTGAGGTTTCGTTGTCCACTCGTACAGTTGCCCTTTGCTGTAAGTATAAACTTTTAATTAGGTGTAAATCTTTGTCATCAATACTAGATTCTGTATCTGTAATAATTTTTGATATTGCCCTTGTCAAATACTTTTTCAAAGTCTATAAAGCATGCGTAGTCTTCGCAATTTACGTCTCGAGCTCTTTGTATCAATAGTTGTATGGGAAAGAGGGCCTATCGCGTTCTTAGTCCGCTTCTAAGCCCAAACTGAACACTACTTCTGTATTTGCAGGCGTTACACCAAGATTTCTGTATATGCGAAAGTGAATAACAGAAACAAGGATTCTAAGTGCATGACTCATTAAGCTTATAATTCTGTAATCAGAGCATCTGGTGGCATTTACCTTTTTGAGGAAAGGAATAAAGGTGGAAACTAGCCAATCTGTAGGAAATTCTGCAGTTTCATAGATTTTGTTCCTAGACTCGTTAGGAGGTTGAGTTGGTTGTTTTTAAATATTTCAGCTTGTATGTTATTAGGTCCAGGTGCTTTGTTGGTTTTTAGTCTTTTTATTGCATATGTTACTTCGCTCTGCGTTATTTCTGGTCCTGAACATCCAGAAACACTGATCTCTGTCTCTTGCTCTTTGTTGAATAATTCTTCCATGTATTGCCTCGATCTCCCCAGTATTCTCTCATTTTACTAAAGCAGATTGTTGTGCTCGTCTAGTATTAAGTTATGACTTCGTGATTTGCTTCCTCCCGTTCGGTTTTTGATCTTTTATGTAGGTTAACAATGTCATGCTTCTGTTCTAAGGATTCTATTTCTATGCATTGATCTTGTAGCCATGATTATTTTGCTTCTTTAATCTTTTTCTTAATGATTTTGTTTATTTCTTTGTGCCTTTCCTTATTCTTATTTCTGTGTTTTCTTCGTTCTTCCATTAGCTCTTCTATTTCCTGTCTTATCCATTACTGTTTCTTTATATTGTTTTCTGATTTAAGTTTATTATCTACCACTAAATTACAAATGTTTTTGATTTTATTCCACATATATCTTTTCTCATATTTTTTTCTCTAAAACCACACTTATGTTTTCTTGATTAATATCTGAGATTATCATGCTATTTATTTTGTTGTTGATTTCCTATTTGATTTCGTTTCTTTTGGTTTTATCTTTCAACTTCTGGATGTCCAGACGTTTTTTTGCTTTTCTTTTATGGACTTTTTTTATGTGTAGTTTAAAACGTCCTAATAAAATATTATGGTCTGATGAAACATCCGCTCCCGGGGATTCTGAAATCGTTTGTTGATGATAATGTAGTCAATCTGGTTTCTAATCATTTTTTTTACATTCAGCTGGAGATTTCTAGGTGTAGATTCTTCGAGGTGGTAATTAAAAAAAGATGTTCATTGTTGCACTATCCGTTTCCTAGCAGTTGAGGATCTCCTCTATCATTTCTTCTAGAGGAAAAGGCAGTCTCCTCTATCATTTCGTGTTAGTAGGCCAAAGTGTCCCACAGTATTGTAAACACTTCCTTTGCCTACTTTGACGTTGAAATCTCCTAGCAGGGGATATTCACTTCTTGCTTTTTGGTATGTTTGAGGGATTCTTTCAATTGTTAAAAAATAGAATATTTCTATTTCCTGCTCTGAGTTTTCCGAAGTGTGATCATATCCTTAAGTAATACTCACGTTAACTTAGCATTAATTTTGAGTACTGTAACTCTATCTGATATTCCTATAAAACTAAATACATATTTGTTAACTTCTTTATTTACCATAAGAGCCACTCCGTTTTTGTTTCTCTCCACAGTAGTATATTGTGTGGTTTTATATTTTGCGCTGCCTTAAATTTGGCCATCTAACGTCACTGTATCCAAGTATGTCAATGTTGAGTCTTCGCATTTCTTTAATTACGTTATTCACTTTTTCGGCCTGGAATAAACTTCGTACATTTCATGTACCAATCTTCTTATCATGCTTAAATCTAAATATTCGTGGCAACCGGGGGATTCTTAGCACCCTCTACCCACTTAAGGGGTGCCCGGGACTAAGGGCCGTTTCTATATGACTTGATCCATTGTAATTATACTAGGTAAAGATAATTGGGGTGATTTCCCGTTGCCTTTCCCAATGATTTTTCTTTCGTGTAAAGTTTACTCTTTGGGAATGGATATGTGAGAGGATTTATTTGTTTTGGTAGAGATCTTGGGGTGGGGACATCTTCTCCCGGCACGCGTTGGGGGATAGCCATGGCTCGCGTGGGCAGGGTTGCATACCTGAAGTAGATCTATCTCATACCGGGATCGTACAAGAGTATCTACCCGCTACCACAATTTATTATGTGCGATTGGTATTAGGTTATTTGGCCTATTTCTTATTTGTGAATTTATGAGGTATATATTTTAATTATATTATATTATATTTTAAGGTCATGTTATGGTTTGATTAAAACTTTGATTATTTTGTACTGTATTTCAAGGTATTTTGTTGTTTTTATCGGAGTTATTTAAAAACTAATCAATAAATCATTGAATTTATTTACAAAGTTAAAAAAATATTTAAATTATTGTCTTAATCTTTTTTAAGTGCTAGTTATTTTATTCCCTAAAAGACTAAATACATTCATTTTCTTGTAGTTTAAATAGTTAATAGTAGTTTTGTTGTTATTACTGAAAAATTCAATAATGCTGAATATCTTCAACACATGTTTACTAGCCATTATATGCCCAGAACTACAAAATAAACTCAAAAACTATTACAACATTCAAAAAACATTTTTTTTTTAATATTTATTATGGCAATTCGATAGAAATGTTTTCACAGAATGTTATATTACAACTTAAACTACGAGAATACGAATATATTTGGTATTTAACAGTATAAAATAACTGGCGACGAAAAAAGAATTAAATATTAATTTAAATATTTTTCAACTTCGTAAATAAATTCAGTGATTTATTGATTCATTTTGAAATAACCCTGATAAAAAAACATACCTTTGTACATTTGAAATACAGTAAAAAAATATTAAAGTTTTAATTGTACAATAACATAACCTTATAATATGAACATCTTATATAGTAAAACGCTAAGACCTTTTCTTGTCCACCACTTTACTCAAAAACCATATTAGATAATTAAAATATTTTTTCGGAATATTATTAGTATTACGTATTAGATTGTCAAGATATACTTTTGGTACAAAAATTCACTTCCGGTTTTGAGATGACCGGAAATTTATTTTAGGTTTTAGATCCCACAATGTATATATGGATCTAAAGGTCTCGTCGAGACGAA